TATCTCACTAGGGATATAGTTATAAAACGGACCAAGTTTAGTGATATACTTATATTACTAGATTAAGTGTAGTGAAATAGCTTTATAATAGTTGTTCGGTGTTCACTTCTAGTTTTCGTGCATGTGCATTTAATTGCTACGCTTGCTTAGCATTTGTATTCGTTTTATAATTGGTAATTACTTGCGCCAGCTATGAATTAAGATGAAGAAATGAATGCAGGTGGCGTGCGCCAAGGGAACGTCGGCCTTGCCCTTCAGGACATTGCCAAGTATCGGAAGAGTGCTGGGACCATAACCTTGGGGGCTCCCCTAGTTGTACTCAGCACTTAACCCGTTCTCTCCACAGCTTCGCCGGCCGCCTAACCGCGAACCGGCGCATAGGAACCCGTTGCACATTAAGATTGGTAGCGGAATTACTAGCTTAGGGAACACCAATAGATACTCACCTCCCTCCTCTCCTCGGCACACACCTCCAAATTCACCTCTTTGAAAGGTTAGAATTATAGAACCCCTCAGGCCAAAAGGCACCTAACCACCAATTTTGTTCGGGTTTCTTCTTCTTGGTGATAGGTGCTAGGAAGATACCCTAGGAGGGAATATTTTGGCACCTGCCTGCTGGAGGAGGCACGCATCCGTGGCATCTCAAGCAAAGTAATTGTTGTGTTGTAGGAACGTAGGACCTCTTCATCATGGCCCTTCAGGCCCTGCTTCTTCGCCTTGTTAAAAGGCTGAACAATAGTTCAACACTCCAAGCTAAAGTTGAACCTCAGCTTGAGAAATTTGTTCTAGACCTGATTCCGGAATCCCGGGAATAACCTGCGCCGGAGAATTCAACGGAGGCCGTCTCTCTCGCCTCGGAGTAGATACCGAATGAACTCCCTGCTGAGATACTGATCACCGCTGAGGTTCGAGTGGACTACCTGTCCTCCGGTTGCACCGACCCGCCCGGAAACTTCAGCCTCCCCGGCTCTGCCCTAAACATCAGCCTCTATGGCCCCTCGCTCCGCAACCACACGAAAGGCCTCCCAACACCGCCATAAACGCAACCAACCCCTTTCACGCCGCGGGGGAGGCGCACACTCCGAAAGCTATTTCACTAAACTATTTATTCATATTGCATTAATGTCAAGTATAACATACAGCCAGTACAGTACATTACCCTGTTAGGGCGCAGCAATTTAACTTATAACTAGATAATAATACATGTTATATTTTTATTACATTAGTTATCACTTCAATATCACTAACACTTTTATGCATTATTATAAAATATAGTTCACATTAACTCACTACGTTATTAAAGTTAGCTAAAAAATATTACTAGGTACTTCTTAAAGCTATAACTGTTACCTATACATATAATAACTATTCAATTCTATAGTGTTACCCATATAATAACTATTACCTATATAATAATTTTACACATGAAAACACAAAATCCTTGGACGAAATCAAATATTAGAAAACAAAAGGTAAAAGCATAATAAAATTAAGTGAAAAGCAAAGAACATTAATATCATATAAAATAAATAAATAATTATAAGGTACAAGTTTAAAATAAATTCACCGTAAAACTTAAATTACAATCGAGGAATAATTTTGCAATTATAACTACAATTCTTATCTTCAAGGTACTCCTGAATACTATAATAAGATTTTTTAAGTAGTAAGGTATATAATAAGATTTTTTTAGTGCTATTATAATATAAGTATATCACTAAACTTGGTCCGTTTTATAACTTTATCCCTAGTGAGATAGTAATGAATCGCTTTCGTATAACTATGTTCCAGTATATAATTATATCTCTAAGGATATAACTATATTACGGCTACATCTATCTTACTGCGACATATACATATAGATTCCATAATTTCATTAAAATATATGTAATATCCCTCAACGAATCTAGATATGTCAAGAATAAGACAAGAGTAAGTAATAATCAGTACAAATATATTGTTATCATATTAGTATGTATTAAAAAATAAATCAGCAGTATTTTAATGTTTGATGTACCTGACTTGAACTATGGTTGGTTTTAGATTCCGAAGAAGATTTAATTTACCAGTTGTCGTATGATGTATTGACTGCACTCACATAGCTATAATGAAACCAAGTAAAGGTGAGCCCCTTTTTTAATAGAAAAGGCTATCATTGAATCTACAAATATAATTTTTCATTTTTCATTTTATTCTATTACATATCTATATACATTTCATTCTATTTAAAGGAAATATTCGGCTAATAGGGAAGGCTTCGGCTTATAACTATTATACAAAAGTTAATCAACATATTTTTTCAGGCTTGTGACCACAATTTAAAAATATTAAATATGAATTGAAAATAGGGTGGAGCCACACACGACTCTTTTTAAAATGGTCATCCAGTCAAGTGGAAGCGATTCATTCATGCGGGAACTACATATTATATCATAATGGTAAACAAACATGACGACTATTATTTATTTTGTTATAATCCTTTGGTACATAGCTTAAGACAACTACATTGTACTCTTACATTATCTTGATTTAAACTCCATGTTTGTAATAACTAAAGTTCCAACATTTCTTTTATCATTAAGGGTGAAATAAAAAAAATCTGTATCAATAAAACTTTTTTATTTTTGGTTACTTTTTCTGAACATAATTACTTTGTTTTCAAACTTAAAATTAGCATTCACATCATCTTTCGTATGACAGTCACATTTGGTTTCGTCATCATGTCGTTAAGGTTGTGCCTGGATTAATTTTATATATGTCTAGAAAGAAAGTAAATTTCAAAATCAAAAAGATAATGTACAATAGCCTATCTAATTACCAATAAAATTGCATGCAAAGCCTTCAAAGGTTTTGTAATTTCACTATATTTTCCCGTGTATATTTACCACATTTTATTACCTTATCAAAACATAAAATAAAAATTTTTTGATTGCTAGAAATGCAGTAAAACTCTCAACACAACAACTCTCGTTCATGAAGGAACCTGTCATGCCTCTCCTCGAATTTACGTCGGTGGAGCTCGACTTTTACAAATTCATTTGTCGTTCTTTCGAATGGCTTTAATCCTCCTGTTCCTACGCGCCCACAATTAAGAACGACGATTTGGTGTTGTAGCTGCCGAACGCGGAGAGGATGACGCCTGCAGTCTAGGCTTCTTGCCGGACAAAATCGCGGCGAAGAAGGAAGGAGAGAGGCGGACTAGGATGGTGGCGTAGCTGTCTCTCGAGCCGGTGCCAAAGTTGTACGTGGTCGGCTAACTGCCTATATCAGCTGAAAATAATATTTTATTATCATTACTTTATTATATTCAATGAAATTAATCTTTCAGTTGCTTAAAGACAGAATTGCTTTCATAATATTTATGGAATATTGATATGGTTAGAAACAAATAAAATTATTACAATCAACTTACTGGACTTTCTCTCTCCTTCTATGGTATTATTATATATGGTAGGTATTTCAATAGTGCTGCCTCCTGCCTGGACCAAGTGCAAGTCATTTGATGGTCTGAAATAAAATCATTTGTTATTATTTATATCTTAGAATTTTTCCTTTATGTTTACTATATGACTACCATTTTTCATCATATGGAACATAGTTCAATCAATACATAATAAATATCTATTCAAATTGATGACCTGATCCTGACAAGTTTTACAATATTAGATACAAAAGATACAGTGTGGTCCCAGTTTATAAAATACTTACATTGAATCCAGCAGATGCCAGCTTGGCCTGCCACAGCAGACACTCCATAAACTGCAACCAGTCTCTCTTCTAATGCAGTTAAAGAGACCCTGCTGCTAGGCCCACCACCACCAGAATTTTGCCTTATTTAAAAATATTTGGTTTTAGTTTTTGTCTTCCAGTCTGCCTACACCTAAAAATCACAATTAATAAAAAGCATTGTGTTAAATTATACTATCCAAAGATTTTAGATTCATAAAAAATAAATATATATAAATATTTAATTTACTGAGGTCGTCATTATCGAAATCGCTAAGGACTCTGATATTATTTTTAATTCATGCCATTTTCTAGTTATCTGCGGATTTTCGAAATTCTTCTACCACCATAAGAATTTAACATACTCGATAAATCCTGCCACAGCTGATATCCCTTTAACTGACCTTTGAACAGTCGTCTAGGGTTTCGACATATCGCCGCGCTCATAAAATAAACAAACTGCCTAAGTGGTATATTCCTTTGTTGATTGTGCAGATTGACCACGACATTGTTGATATTAAGTTTAATCTGAGTGAAGATATTGAAATATTGATACGATTTTATGAATTAACTTTCCATAAATATTTAGATTGTTCTGGACTAGCTCGAAGCATCGGTTCCATGTAAAAAAATATAGTATTCCTAGTAACCATTTCAACAAGAATATTAAACACACAAACATGCCGAAAATATAAACATAACTAAAGTAATTTAATTTAGATTATCACATCATACTTATTTACAGTACTCACCGTCTTAAAATCGCTATTCCATGTATAATTTCACTTAAAAAATTCATGAATTCATCACTTCACAACTTAAAAATATTCTAGTTTTGCGGCGACCCATTGTCAAACTGACATTAGCGTACGACAAACCATAAAGAACAATTGATGTTTTTTGTAACATACGAATAGAATGAGCGTTCGACAAGTGGTTGTACACTTGGCTACCAATCGAAAAACGCTAACGCCCAAGCGTTCATTTTCAGTAGAATAGAAACGACTCCGAGCGTTTGCCACTTGTCTAGGCCCTCTGTACTCCCTATCCTTTTCGGAAATAAGAAACGCGCTGTAATTTATGATGGAAAAACGTGATTCCGCGTAGACGTAACTTAAATTTATTTTGTGCTATAAATGCATTATATTGTCATCATAAAATTAACTACTTAATAATATTATAAACTATAGGTAATGGTCACAAATAACATTTTATAGCTGTTGTTACTGCGATCTATTGTTTTCCTAATAATATACCGTGGCGTTTTGTTCTAGAATATGCTGATGGCTTCTGGTGGCCGCGTAGTTGCAGATATGAGACACGTGCGAATATCCGAAGACACTACCCAACCTGCTCTGTTGTTAGCTGAACCAGAATCCACGCAAGAGGATCGATTTATATGTAAGATTATTCCTTGTATGCTAGTGTTTACTATGAACCATGCTTATGCTATTGTTAACTGTCATTTGTCATTTTTATTTCCTATCCTTCATTAAAGGATAAAATTTTATAATGCAAGTCTTATGAAAGATGCTGGAAAAATATCCATAAATATATTGTTCGTGTACCCCATACTTCGTATCTTTGCAAACGGAAACATTTATTTGAACGCGCTAATCTTTTGAACTTTAGTCTATTGGTGTTAAGAAAATAATGAGTAACCGCTGGCGACCTTGACCAGTTTTGGAATTATTCTATTTGCAACCTTTGTACCTTAAACGCTCTTCGACCGGCTTGGCCATTGACCGTTTATTAAAAGCGATAGTATCACTAAAGTAACGATGATCTCAACATCTCTGCTTTACTTAAAAATGAAGCTGTCGTCTATTTTTAGGTAATTAACTAAATATAAACAATCTTGACATAAAATATCTTTTATGTAAATGTTGTCTAAAAAAAATTTAAAGGTATTTACCTAAATAGATGTTAGGTAATATTTAGTTTATTACCTATTTTAATAATCTTTGTATGTATTTTATACGACTTTTTTAATATAAAAAGACACACCAAGATTGTTTACCGATAGTTAACCACCAAACCGACAAACCATAGGTGAGGACACTTACAAACGGGATGTATCTAAATAGATAATTTCTGTACCTATCACATTCTAGGTTCAACTGTCCATCTAACCAAGAGCATTCGACAGTATTTTATATTCAACTAGCGGCCCACCCCCGCTTCGCACTGGTCCAACTATCTCGCTAACAATGAAAGGGTCCCTTTTCCCCAATTTTCCTCTCTAGATTTCTAATATTTTCTTTCATAAGAACCAATACAAAACAAAAGGATTTGGCAAAATTGGTCCAGCAGTTTTTAAGTTATGCGCTTACCAACACATTTTGCGAATCATTTTTATATTTACCTAGTATACCGACTAAGTAATGGTACGTACTAATTGACTTAAGTCAAGAAACCCCCTAAGTAGGTATGTCTGTACAAAAATAACCGCTTGAACATACGATCGACCGATATTGTTTGTCTAATGATTCACGTTTCACGTGCGGTAGTAGATGGAATCGGACAGTTTAGGTCAAGTGTATAAACGTGATTCCATGACGTGGCCTATACACAACATAATTAATATTATGTTAGATCATTCTTGTGTAATATTTCTCTAATCTCTAAGTAAAGCTATATATTACAATTTATTATTGAATTGATACACTTATGCTTTCTTGTAATCATTCACGTTTTATGAATCACATTTAATTTTAATCCGATATTGGGTTTCAATTGTTTTTCTGTACTATTGGACTCCCTCGTTGACCAGTAGATGGTAAGCAGGACTGACAAGTGTGGCCCAAAGTTTAATCCCAGTCGAACAAAATACTTATATGTGATATATGTATACACTGAATTGGTTTATGAAATCATACCCGTTAAAAATGATGTTACATTTATTTTTAGCTGCGATTACTGAATCGAATTCATACATTTCTGTCAAAAGATTGTGATACCTACAGGTATTTCTTCAACAATTTCTTCACTAAATAATAAAGTATTCGATATGTTAATAATTTAACATTTTATTATATGCATTTTATTCAAATATTCACTTCTCAGAATAATATCAATGCATAATAAATGTTAATTAGAGCTCTTTTTAATAGAATTAACATGATTTAACATATTTAAGTAACAAACCCGTATGAAAGTAAGTAGGTACAAACTTTAATATACCTAGATAACATTTCGTATTGGTATCATTTTAACAAAAAACAACAACAAAACAATTTGATAGTATCCACACGTTTCTTGTTATCTGTTTTATCTTATTTAGTGACTTGCTATATTTGGCGCTTGCATGCGAGCGAACCATAGAATTTTTGTACCAAGATCAAGTGTGTGTACCAAGATCTCGTCTAAGTAATATGATTTGTGTATAGGCTAACTAAATTATACGTAATACGTAAAGTATTATAGTGTGTACACAATGTGCACGCAGACACGGGTGAACTTTGTTTCTTAGAGAATCTCGTCATCATCATGACAAGACATCTTTTTTTTATGTGAAAGGTCGGCAAACGAGCAGACGGATTACCTGATGGTAAGCAATCAGCGCCGCCCATGGACACACGCAATAACGGACGAGTTACTAGTGCGTTGCTTTTTGGGGATTATGGGATTGAGGGAGGAGAAGGACTTAGCCTCCGCCTCCGGTAACCTCAGTCACACGGCGAAACACAACGCTGTATTTGACCCGGCGGTTTTCTGTGAGGCCGTCGTATGGCAGGTCGAACCGACCCATTCGTGCCGAAGCATGGCTCTCCCGACTTAGGGCACATATTATTATGTATTTGGTGCTTTTCAAGCCACAACAAATAAATTATTTAATCATTCTACATAATGTGGTAACACCACCCTTAGCAGCCCAAGATAGAACAGTAAAATTTAACTTTTTTTTTGTTGCAGTCCTCGCTATGGAACAAAGTATAGTGCCGGTAAACTACGAGTGGGTTTTGAATTGTCTCGGAGGCTACTCTCTGATCTCTGTACAAGAACATCTTCTGTGTCCATCGTCCCTTCTACCAGCTGCCACTGCTAAATGGCCCGAAGTTTTATTCTCACAAGATGATTAAGATTTCTATTGTATTTTTATTATTGCAATATTCTAGAATAACGTTACTATTATGTTACAAGAAAAGTTTTAATAAACTTTATGAAAATATCGTAACTAGATTGGTTTTGGTTGCTCTTATAATTATGAAAACACATATCTTTCTAATAATATATTATTGTGATCACAGTTGTGTATAATAATAATTCTAATGTGAATAAGTTTTCTAATTTCGAACTTTTCTGTTAAAAATGTTTATGACAATATTTTTTTATTATATCTAATTATGTTTTATGTTATGTTAATGATGGATGATTAGTACAATTTTAAATGTCATCAAATATTGTGTTGTTCTATAATTTACGCTAATGTCTGGTACAGACTTTTACATTCAATAGAATTGAAAGTAGATTTACTTATGAAATATATATTTTATATGAAAATTGATTTCTGTCGTTTAAATTTCATCGTTATTATCACACCGTAAGCACGGGTCTGCGGTCGGCAAGTAAGGGCAGCTCGCCGCCCGACCAGAACCAGGCCCGAGCGTTCGGCGCGTAGCGTTCCGCGCGCGCCTCAAAGAGCCAATAGACCACCACAGACGGGGTCCTAAAGGGCTGATGTTCAGCCGGGGTTGCGGGGTAAGCGCAATGAGGCACCGCGAAGAGCCCAGAGCAGGAGAAGGAACAGGGGGGTTTTTAGTCAAGTCTTAGTAAGAGTCTGACACTCCCTCCCTGGGCCGGCCCTGGGCGGGAGAAGTCATTTGTTGATTTTCCCCTCACAAAAAGAAATCGTCATTATCAACCAGAAGCAGTCCACCGATGGACAAAACTCTTTACGCCGAACGAAAAGTCGCCACTGGCATCAATTGGCTCCCGGCTATTCTGACGAGGTCGTAGTGGACTACGTAGACCTTTTCTGATCCATAGGCGGTTAGTCCTTCAAGCGATGCGCCCTGCCCATTGCTACTTCTGCTGCTGTGCAACGTGTGGCAGATTCGATTTCCGCATAGAAGAACACCTTATTTAATTCACAAATTGTTGTTTCGATGTGTTGTAATTTGTACAACACTTGACTGCATTATGTTTTCTCCAAAAACGAAACAAAAAGTCGAAACTACTTCTTCTCTTCCCATATTTTCTAACTAGTTTTTGTCGCGCGGTTTCTCTCGCTATTCAGCTCTTACAAATCCTAGCGTGATGTTTTATAACCTAAAGCCTAGCTTCCTCGATAAATGCACTAACAAACACAAAAATAATTATTCAATTCGCACCAGTAGTTCGTTAGATTAACGCTTTCAAACAAACAAACTCTCCAGCTTTTTTAGTTTAGATAGATGTACCTATATCTATGTGTCATTGTGGTACTTGGTCTATCCTAAATTATCCAAGACAATTGTTGTCCCAGGGTCCCGTCAGTCCCGGCGCACAGTAGCGATGTGACAGTAATTGGATAAGTGAAGTGGGCTGGCAATTCGTCTTTGAAAATATAATCTAGACGGTGAACTTGTCAAGAAAATGACAATAGTTAAACATTTAAAGGATTCAGATTAGGTAAGATGTTTCATCTCATGGGCCACTCATAATATAACATATATGTTTGATATTTAATAGATAATAGGGATGTGTGTGTGTAATTTCATTAAGATTAAAGTTGTCTAAACGGCCTCTGCGCAGTTGGCTACGGCCTCTCGTACGCCTCCCATGACTGGGACCCTGGGGTCTCGTGGTAAAGACATAGGTACACATAATAATAATAAAATAAAATTGTAGGGACGACAATGCAATATGACTTATTCATCGCAATGTTGCACTTTTGCGATGTAAGACAGTCACGGGCTTGTCGGGTTACGATTCGGTCGCACATATGTAATTAGCGTGTTTTACTAAAATATAATCGTGAGTGAACTTTACCCTCTTTAATTTATAATCTTACCCCGTGACTCAACAAAATGTTATTGCCGTTTATCCGTATGTATCAATATTGTTCAGCGGCAGGGGCCATAATATTTCCATAGTTATCATATCCACCAGTCCATAGCAACCCATACCTATAACCCTATAAATTTTTACCACATTTCACAATAGTCCTGCATCAACCTTTTCAAGTGTGGGAGAGCCATGCTTCGGCACGAATGGGTCGGCTCGACAGGAGTGATACCACGGCCTCACAGAAAACCGGCGTGAAATAACCACTGCGTTGTGTTTCGCCGTGTGAGTGAGGTTACCGGAGGCCCAATCCTTCCCCTTCCCCAATCCCTCCTCAATCCCTAAATCTCCAAATCCCTAAAAGGTCGACAACGCACTCGTAACTCCTCCGTTGCGAGTGTCCATGGGCGGCGCTGATTGCTTACCATCAGGTAATCCGTCTGCTCGTTTGCCGACCTATTACATAAAAAAAAAAACAACCGGGGATTGTCCTTGGGTGCACTTTTATAGTGCATACAGGAATAATTGCCGGCTGATGTCCCATCACATTTAGATTAAAACTGTTCAACGGGCGTCTGCGAGTTAGCTTCGGCTCCTCGTACGCCTTCCAAAGGTCCGGGACCCTGTGGTCCCGTGAAAGGAAAGAACAAATAAAATAATAAATAATACGTTTATACTAGCTCTTACCCGCGGCTTCGCTCCCGTAATTTGACAAGCTACGCTATCTACCCTACCTTGCCCCACCTACTCTACCCTTTACCTTCTTCCAGTTCTTCGCTACCTCCCTGCCAATTTTCACTGAAATCGGTTCAGCCGTCCTTGAGTTATAGGTACGTAAATAGTGTACCTACATATCTAACACGACTTTCATTTGTAATATAATGTAGGTAGGTATAGATAATTTTAATAAAGGGAATAATAAAAAAAAATTGCTCGCACAAAAACAAACAAAATGATGCAATTTATGACGAATATGTACAACTCGCCTAGTACCTATAGAGAGACGTGGCGTCTCCGTGAACGAGGTCTTACCGCTGTATATCTATGTATGCAAGTATATGTATACTTAGATACCTGGTTACTCATATTGGCCTGTAGCTAGCTGCCCATTTACAAAACGCCACGTACGCTACGCTTATTGACTAGAGCCTGTACCTAGGTAATGGCGATGCCGACTTATTAGAACTGTTAGGCGTATAAGCGGTGCGGATTTCTCATCCAAATCATGGAAACTACAGACCCAATTTTTATAAAACTTGTTATTCTTACGAAATATATGATGGTCTAAAAGTCATGGTTAGAAAACCAGTTTAGAAATACAGGAAAAGTTAATTTTAGGTTTGCACACCTACAAACAGAAAATCGCTAATAACTTCTCGATTAAAGATAATTTTTACTTCTCGATAAATGTAGGTAGGTACTTACCTACCTTATTAAATTTATGTATGAGTAGGTAGGTATCTACTAAAAATCTGATATGTAGTTTTCTTGATTCTTACTAAAATAAAATATAAAAACGCTCTTTTAAAATGCATAAACGCTCTTAATTGGTGGTCCAAAAAAAAGCAATGAGTCAACAACCGTAAAAATCAATACGTAGATACACCTAACTCAGTAAACCTACCTGTCGACGACAAATATTGAAATCGAATCAATAAATGTGTGGAATACCTACCTATTTAGCTACCCATAGCGACAGCCTAAATACCTAAATTTCAAGTTCTAATATCAAAATCAATCTTCACGGATTAAACGGGTGTACCTAATGTTTATACTAACTGCTTGTATGACTACCTACGTCTACTTTAGGCATCTACGAAATAAATGACATTTCTTTTTTAGCTCATATGGTTTGCCATTTATTCAAGGGAATAAGCATCAAAGGTCTTGTCTCGCCCCAACCAGGGCGCTTACTTACGTACCTACGAAACACCACCTCGTTCCTTCTCCTGCTCCGAGTTGAGGGTATCTAAATTATTGCGCTTGCAATCGCAACCACGGCAATACAAATCTAGTTGGGGTCCAAACGGTTTTGTATGATAAAACTTTTATATTTTATATGTCTATAGGGGAGGGTAAACGCTCATTGATCATTATTATGGAAGGTACCCGATGATTGTCTTGGTATATATCGGTAGGTACTACTTGGTATTGTATATCGTATCAAAATTATGTAAGTTGAGTTGTGTAATTTATAAATTAAATTGAATTTATTAACATTTAATAATCATCTGATGTTTTAATATGATACGAACAGTTAACCGCTATCTATTTATAGCACATTTACCTATTACATCGAATGCAAACGCATCAATCTCGGTTGTCTACGATCATTTCTATCATCAAAACAGTGGAGGAGAAAATTATGGTGGAAATGGAGGAGGTGCCGGCACAAATGCAGTGTGCAACTACTGGTAAAGACACTGTGTCAAAGATTACTGACACATTTCCAGATGTTTGTATTAGTAGGTAATAATTCCTAACAAATTCCATGAGTGTTCCAAGCAAGTAGTCGAAATATTATCTAACAAGACAACGTCAGATGGCTGTTTTCATCAATGAGACCGAAAGCTTTCCCTTAAACTTTAACAATTTTCTATAAAATCATGCCACAGATTGGATAGCGCTAACTAGGATGACATTAGGTCTATACTGTTCATTTTTATTCTATACATGAATAAAAACGCTGTATAGCAAGTAAAAAAAAACAAAGACTCTCCAGTCTCGATTAAGTAATTCTTAAAGAGATGCAGGCAGGTCGTGTTTAGCAGTGCACGATAACACTGGAATGTAGGTAATCCTTATGGTCTCAAGGCTGCATCATAACTATCAACCGCAGCGCTGATGGGAAGCGTCACAACTAACTTTCATGGACGGCCTCGGAACCTTGATAACGAAGTATCCCAGAGAGTCGCCTGTGTCTCCAAGAAGGTTTACGGTAATGCTCCATCTAGCCAAATACCTAAGTATATTATCAAATAAGTATACCTACTTAGGTAAGGTGCCCAGTCCGTGGGCGGGCGCCTATTGCTATCCACCAGGTAATCCGATTGTTTGTGAGCTGACCTATTTTATATAAAAAACTAGAATATAACCAAAATCTTGCTTTCAATGTTATTAGGTCGACTAGTATAAATCAAAGATGAGGTCATTATCTAAGCAAAAAAATATTCCATTACCTACGAATTGTAACGGTATAAACAATTAGAAATGGAAAGAATCGCAGAGACGTTAAATTACTCCTAAATTTGAAATGGTTCTGATTGACATAGTGAGTTGTAGAAGGAAAATGGAATATCCTTATGCGACGGCCTTTATTTGCATGTACCGACCAAACTAAACAATATCTTTCATACTCGATTGACAGATCCAAAACTTTAGTCACTAGTCAGTAGATAAGTACTGATTTATAATTAAACTAGCTACTCTCGCGCGGTTTCACCCGCTGCTCGGCTCCTTTTAATCGTAGCGTGATGTTTATAGCCTATAGCACTCAGGAACATTGTAGCTATCTTTCAATGAAAGAATTTTGTAAATCCGACCAGCGGTTCCAAATATTACCCCCTAGGTACCTACATACAAACTTACAAACTTACTATTTACTATTATGATATTAGTAAGTATAGATAAAATCAACAACCAGTGATTATCGCATCTGAGCTTGCAATTTCTGGACTCTGATCAAAATCTTTGAATTGGGAAAAGCTTATAAATATTATAGTTAAAAAGGTTAATAGATTCCTCAATCATGTTATTTTTTCAGATGAGCAGGGTATATTTTACCTTAGGCATCAAATTAAGACTCCTACCGTTAAGTTATCTTAGCAAAGTTCGAACTCCCGCCATCGGCGAGGTTAACCCATAATATCGCCTGATCACAACTGTACATCGTGCCATGTTCGTGACGAGCCAGTGACGTGGTCGTCGACATCGCGCCACTTCGCCGGTCCAATCCACGCGCAATCGTTTCGCCTACCAGACCACTCTGCCAGTCTGACACTAACTCCACAAGCGTGCCCATGCTAGTAAGTCCACAGTCCAACACGTGAACTTATCGATTGCACCGGCCGGTCTGTGTGTTGCAAATATTATTGTTTTCCGGTTATTTTATCAGTCATATATAACGCTCTCGACGGAGAGGAACTCTCATTCATACTTCGTTAACACTCGGTTAATAGTGTGATAGTGGTTTACAACTTATTTTGGATTATTGTCAATTATTCACATTTATTTATTGGTAAGTACAATGAAGTTCTATTCAGTAATGGAATATTATAATTTATTCAAATATTTTATGTTTACAAACACAGAAACAATATCTTTCATTTGTTTTTAATATTTTTATCTTGTTATCATCAGTGTATGGAATAGTGATGTATCAAAGATACTATAGATAGGTAGATGTTAGGTATACCAGGTGTAGTCTCACCGGTGTGTACCGCTCTGCCTACCTATAGCTATGGCGGTTGATGAATAGTGATGCGATAGTGTATCGTAATGAAGGTCAAATAGGACTTTCTTTTTATGACTATGGAGATACGCCTCCGTTGTAAATTTGTAATAATGACTATCACATCTCAGTTAAATCATATCTAAAACTTTTGCAAAAAAAATGTTTACAATCTCTAATGATATCTTACGTCGTGACACCAATATCACGGTACTTTGAAAGCCCAACTAAGAATTTTTAATAAATCAATAATCTACGACTTTTATAAAATTAGCAACATTAATCTACCTAAAATAGGACCGTGAGCATTTGAATTACCAGTCTTTAAATACTTACTTTCGTATTCATATCTTTGAAGTATATTAATGTAAAAGTAAAACTGTCTCAACCTTTCTTGTCAGCACTTTGAGCTTCGTTCTTGGAAATATTAAACCTTAGGCAGATATCCACGTGGATGCTAAATACAGGAATTACTCACTATGCATCGCTTCTTACACATTGTTGTGACTCTCTCATAAACCATTTATGAGATGGCTTTAGTGCACACTTAATTTGGTGCTTGTACCTATACATACATTCTTTAAAAGCATGCAGTCTGCTGCACATCATACTGTAACACATAGTAAATATCGACTTAAGAATATTATTTAGGCCACCAGCAATAGTAACATAACAAAAAGTACCTAACTTTCTACCCGATGCTACACCTGCGTCAAATTAGAAATAATAAATAAGTAGGTTTACTTACGCTCGAACAAGTCTAGATTTTGTAGGAATTTCGGTATAAACCGTTTTCTTTTATAAGTTACTATACTTAAAGTTTTCGATGGTGACAGATTTATTGAAACAGATTCGTTCATACAAATTACTTCCACTCTTATCGACAAAGTGTTTTATCGATACCTAACTAACCTACGGTTATCCAACCCTATCCTTTATCAAACGAAATTACGAAACGTCAAGTCAAACCAAACAAGAAAAAACCCAAATTCCTATAACGTTCGTAAGTAGAGAAGAAAAACTTCGAAAATAATATCTGATCTGATTCAAGCGTTAATGAGTTGTTAAGATTTACGATACATGATCTGTGATCGCTAACTGCATCTGCAACTTAGGTGTTTACATCAATTGGAGATTTTTGCGTACTTATTTCTGTTTTATGTAATAAATATAATATAACTTAATACTTTATCTTTATAACTCAATAACGCTTACAGTGGTTTTAAAAAACATCGAAAATCTCGAAATCTCGAAAATCGTGCACGTAAAATATTGGTAATTTTATGTACAATTTTTTTGTCTACAGTGCTCAGAAGTTTGAAAAGATGGCTCCAAATATATCGGAAGACGTGAATGGAGTGCTCTTTGAGAGCGACGCAGCTACTCCAGATCTGGCGCTTGCCAGACCTCCAGTCCAAAAAGCCGACAACAAACCGAAGCAACTGGTGTGGAGGAATATCATATTGTTTGCATATCTTCACTTAGCAGCTCTGTACGGTGGTTACTTGTTTCTCTTCTCCGCGAAATGGCAAACAGATATTTTTGGTGAGTATTTTAAGTACCTAGTAGATTAGATTGCATTTCACATGATAAACAATTTTGAGAAGTTTCTTGATCCCTCAATTTGGTAACACTCAGAATGATGCTATTACACATGTTAGAACCAACTTTTCCTTTCCTTAAACTGACCTGTATCTGACCTATGATGCTATTCTGTCTGTGTGTCATGCTATGCAATATCCATTCTGGTATTGTAATTGAAATCTCCCTTTTAGTAGATAACATTTACCTATATTGCATTGAATATCATTAATCAGGTCTATAATAGTAATGTTGTGTGTATATTTTCAGCCTACATCTTGTATGTGATATCGGGACTGGGAATCACGGCTGGAGCACATCGCTTGTGGGCCCACAAGTCTTACAAAGCTAAATGGCCACTGAAGGTGATCCTGATCATTTTCAACACTGTCGCCTTTCAGGTGAGATATTTTATTGATTCCTTTCATGATTTTAGACTTTATTTCAAGCTAAACAAGTACATTATAACAATAATTATTTTTTGCGCCATGTTCTAATTATTATTTTAACCTTTTTAATGCAAATAATCGCCCATTTATTTATAATCTGACCTCTTTTAAGAAAACTAAATATTAAGTTAAAATTGATGATTAGATGTCAGAAGGTAATTAATTAACAATTCAAATTTATTCAATTTGAATATTTTTTTACTATGTATGAATAATTTGTATTGTTTCATAATAATAATTATTTAAATTAATCTCCATATTAAAGTATGTTAAGTATTCAAAACCTAAAAGTGACTGGGGAAGCCTATTTCTAGCAGTAGGTCAGTAGGTGTCTTGTAGTTGATATAATAAAACCTTTTAAATAATAAAATTTTAACAATTGTAATCTAACTAGTAATACAATATGCTCTTTGACTATTATGTGTGATGAAATCAACAAATAGAATAGAGCTAAAATATATTTTTTGTCATTTGTGTCACAGCCAAGTATTTCAATGTCATTGTTAAACAGTTGAGTAAAGAAGTTAATTTGAGTACTAAGCAGTAGTTTTGGCAAATTATCTTCATTTTTTAAATAAAATGCATCAAATAAAACTCCTTACATTTAAATTACCTCAATCTACTGCTGACCAGCAGTTTTTCAATCTTACCCAAGCCCAGACAATTGTGAACTTATCAAATAAAATAACATTAAATTGTAAACTCCTTATCATGAATTTGCCTCCTTTATGAGATTATCAATGTAACAGGGAAAGTTAATGGGTAGGGTATTAGGTATTGTGTTACATAAACAGTTTTGTTGTGATATTTTCCTGTTCGTTCCATACCAAATTGGGACTTTCAAGGTGACTAGGTGAACTTGGAGAACAATACTAAGCTTTGCATTGACGAAGTGTTATCAACGTGTTTTCGCAACGTTTTCCTTAAAAAGAATTAAACTATGAAAATTTTGCACTTAATATAACATTTCAGTAGGTACATATAGATTTTTTTCTTGTTGTTGTGATTATGATCACTGACTCGTCAAACCCCAAGCGAACGCCAGCGTTCGCACTCCTATTGTTTCTCTAATATAGTGTCGAATTGAAGGGTTAAATAAGAAAAAAAATTGCAACATGGAGATAGGATATTTACAAACAAAATTTAACCTTTATCTGCAAAAATATTTTATAATACGGCAATTGTAATTGGGTAGTTTCCTAGGTCAAAAAAAATTAATTCGATGTTTCAATACAATGAAATATCGTAAAATAACTATACTTTTATTCATCGGTCGCTTGATACACTAAATTATAGATGTTTTTAAGCTAATTTTTAAGATATAAGTACGCTAATTCAGTTTTTCATACAAATTTCATAGTAAAGTATAGTTTTTGACATTTGGATAAAAGTATTGAATTTGACTACTTGGATAATGGATACTACCGTATTATCCCTTTGTACTTTAAAGATAAGATATATCATCTGAAAACTTATGAATTGAAAATTCCTTTCAATATAGACAAGCACTACGTTTGTAAGTAGTTTTTAGTAGCAGTTTTTTTCAAGGTAACACTTTCTAACACTTAGTTATTTTAATTATTTTAAGGATGCGGCTATGGACTGGGCACGCGACCACCGCATGCATCACAAGTACTCGGAGACCGACGCTGATCCTCACAACGCGACCCGTGGCTTCTTCTTCTCCCACATCGGCTGGCTGCTCGTCAGGAAGCATCCAGACCTCAAGGAAAAGGGCAAAGGACTTGACATGAGCGACTTGCTTGCTGATCCCATACTTAGATTCCAGAAAAAGTAAGTATTATCGCTTACTTTAGTAGTATACTAGTATATTAGTGTATAGTTTAATAGTACGTACGTTACGTTAAGGGAGATCATATTAGGTATATTAAAATTTACTATTATAGTACATTATAAAGAAATAATATCCCAAATATATAAAAAGAGGTAATGAAATGAAAGAAATATTGTAATACTAATAAAATCCTAATTTTCTTTTTTAGGTACTATCTGGTCCTGATGCCTCTAGCATGCTTCGTTATGCCTACAATGATTCCTGTGTACCTGTGGGGTGAAACCTGGACCAATGCTTTCTTCGTGGCTGCCATGTTCCGTTACGCATTCATCCTGAACGTGACGTGGCTCGTCAACTCCGCTGCCCACAAGTGGGGAGACAAACCTTACGACAAAAGCATCAAGCCCTCTGAGAACATGTCGGTAGCTATGTTCGCGCTCGGTGAAGGTTTCCATAACTACCACCACACCTTCCCCTGGGACTACAAAACTGCTGAGCTCGGTAACAACAAACTCAACTTCACCACAGCCTTCATAAATTTCTTTGCCAAAATCGGCTGGGCCTACGACATGAAAACTGTGTCTGATGACATCGTCAAGAACAGGGTGAAGCGCACTGGCGATGGCTCGCATCATCTGTGGGGCTGGGGTGACAAGAACCAACCCAAAGAAGAAATTGAGGCTGCTATTAGGATTAATCCTAAGGATGATTAATTTGCAAAGAATGATTTCAATGTGGAAAACCCACAATAAAGTGTTAAATATTACTAGATTACTAAATATTTATAGATTTAGAATCTGTTTATGAAATAAATAGACACGTTAGTAGTAGGTACTTGTGACGCATACATTTTATCACCTAAATAAATTGCGATCTTATAGATGAAGCACATTGCCATTGCATACTAAGTAGCTATTAACTTCCTTACGGCGTCTTCCTTAGGCGCATCTATGTTAGGACAGAACTCGAGGCTGTGACCTCGTTTTGATCGGCTTGTTGTTCCATGCAAATTAATTGATATCGTCATTTCAGCAGCTTAAATTACACCCCTATGTCTTCCTTTTCACCATAATTATTAATAGGTCACCTAAGTGTTTATCACTTTTTAGCACCCATTCAGTTTCAAATAGTATGTTAACTATTTAAAAATATTTCATATACACTATAGTTACAAGTAAATAAATGTCAGCAAGCTACTTTATGTGATACAAATAATTTGATAAAGGCAACACATCAGTATTATAAACCACATATTATGTTAATTTATTTTTTTATATAACTAGTCTTTTGCATTTTTAAGAAGTACAAGCATTAAGTTGAAATCCCAGTAAAATAATGTAACAAATAGAAGACGCTACTAAACTTTATGTATGGAAGAAATATGTGGTATATAAGATTTATAAAATATTTGTTTCATGTTGTAAAAGCAGATACAGAAGTTCTGGTAGTAATATTTATAAAGATTAACAAATCTACCTGAACAAAATATTCTGTGAATTACGTAGAATTGCACGAAACTTAAATGACTCGAATTATTAGAACTCATTTTAAAACTTTTTCGTGTAGAACGTATTTTATAAAAGAAGTAGAAGGGATCAGCTGGCCTGCCTTCTATGTCGCTCCTGCGCGATTTAAATATGAGAATGAAAGTTATTTATTAATGCGTATACATATATACGTATGTGCTGTTACAACGTGTATTTGACTGATGTGTAAGAGAATTGTGATAATTAGAAGGGTAAACAGATTTTATCCTGTATGTGTAAGCGGAAAGTGAACAATTGTAGAAAATAATTATGACGAGTGTTTGAAACTATATTATTATTAATAATTTTATTTCATTTGCAAGCATTTAATGTTGACTACATTTCATAACTTTCACACATGAAGCTTACTCGAATACTTAATTTGTTTTTGTTCTAAACAAATGTTTGATTATAATTACATTAATGTAGCACAAAATATGCCTTTTATTTACACCAAAATAACTCGAAATTACCACCTACTTATATATAAAGAATCTTTTCACTTTATCAATAAAACACCGGTCTTGAGGAAAATTGTATATTACAAGCCATTTAATAATAAATATACAATATTATTAAAAGTGAAATGCATAACGAACATACTTATTTGTAAATCTTTTTATTTTATAACGTGTGTTGAGGCGTGTAGGCACATGTGTTCTAGTCGCAATAAAATTTGCCCGACTGTTTAAATAATTATACCCAGCTTGTAAAAGACTTGCGCAATGGCGCGGCTGTATTGAAACTGGTGCAGGAACTTTCTAATACCAAAATTGGGCCGTTCTTTTGCCGTTACCCGGTTATTTGATAATTATGAATAAGGCTATTTTATTTCGAATTAGATTTGTCAAGTCATTGTGACTCACAATAGACAATCATAAGGCTTAAAAGTGTATATTTTAAAATACTAGTGAACCATTATTAGTAAGCATAAAACAATTTGAAATAGGGTGTTCGTTTATTTTTGTAGAAGCTTGTGTGACCTTGTTCTACAAAGGCCGTTGCGTCATTGCACCTCGCATCATATATTTTCTTCGTGAAAAATATCTTGTTCATCACATTTGTCGGGCAAGCACACGAAGAATTCAATCAAGTTCATAATGGGGCCCCGTGAGAATGGATTCTGATAACGCCCACGCTTATCCCTCAAATAAGGATATCTTTTATAGTTGAACATTTCATTCGTAGTTAAATTCATGCATGCGTGCAAAATCTGAAAAGTAAAACGAAACGTTATCTAAGTACTTTAATTACCTGCATCATAATGTTCCAAACTAATGTAGGTACCTTCGTTATCTAAGTACTTATTACATTAATGTTGTAAGTAAATATGCAAGTGACTGTTGCATTGAGGAATAGGTAGTGGGAACTTTGACTGAAATGAGCCCATATTTTGAAGGATAACTTATTACGACAGGTTCATCCTAACTATCGACTTCTAGAACCCTATTTTCTGAAATTTCTTAGTTGATAATAACGAAATGTTTGTAACTCCTCGTGAAGACATATTTTCTTAGGATTAGATAGAATGGGAATTGGCCCATAAAATCCATAATGAACAACTCTTTGAAATTACCTACTTAGGCACGGCACCTCATCTTGGTGGCGTCCATCAAGGTAAGGAATTAGTTGCTACTTTTTTGTATTCACCAGTCAAAGTCAAAATCATAATAATTATATTCTCAGCCTAAAGCAGGTGTAGGAACAGGGGAGTTTTTAGTCAGTAAGAGTCTGACTCAACGTCATTTGAACTTAATTGACTCTCTCTTTCGCCTTACCTTGGGCGGGAAAAGTCATTTGATGACTTTCCCTAAGAAAAACAGTATTTTCTTTTGAAACGTCAAAATAGAATCGTAGTCTGTCAGTCTGTTTGTCAGTGTAGCTAGGTTTAGCCTATCGTATCGTATCAAGTTTAAAGACTTACCGAGGTGCAGGTAAGAATCCACCCAAGAGCGCAGAAAGTAATAGCTTCCAGCAGTCCCAGCACGTACAGAAGGCCGAAGCCTTCGAGCAGGAGGCAGTAGCAGGCGAAGTATATGGAGAGGGTGCAGTTGATCGCGACGCTCATCACAAACAGGAAGAACCACATTCTGTTGCGCACGCCAACACAATTGTAGATGAAAGGGCAGTGGTGGTCAAAGTAAGCCACGCAACGCTTACAGATCCGACAGTGTTTGGCCCTGCAGACAAACAATAATAAATATACAAGTAGCTACATAACTTAAGCCACAATATATATTTATACTGTGCTTAATCGTTGACCCCATAAATATGTAAGTAGATACCTTCCTAGATACATAAAGATTTAAAGTAGGGTTTACAGGCAAATAAACAATAAAACTACCTACCTAATGACCGAAATTAAATTACCCCTTTGCAATCTGCAGCCGGGGTTGCGGGGTAAGCGCAACCCCGGCTGCTGAAGAACCAGGTCCGAGCGTACGGCGCGTAGCGTTCCGCGCGCGCCTCAAAGAGCCAATAGACAACCACAGACGGAGCCCTAAAGGGCTGATGTTCATCCGGGGTTGCGGGGTAAGCGCAATGAGGCAACGCGACCTCGGCCCAGAGCAGGAGAAGGAACAGGGGGGTTTTTAGTCAATAAGAGTCTGACACTCCCTCCCGCCCGGCGGCTGGGCGGGAGAAGTCATTTGATGATTATCCCCTCAAAAAAAACCCCTTTGCAATCTTAGGGGTAATAAGTTGGTACGACAAATGAAAGGCTGCTCTTTTAATTACATAAAAAATCAGTCCCTCATCGTGATTACGGTATGTTGCGGTCGAAGCACGCACAGTCATAAGAAACGGTCCTGACATAGAGTATGAGTAGGTTTTGCTTTGCCTCCCTACCATATACTTACATAGATGTCTAACGTGCAATGGATTAGGAAACCCCAAATTGAATATCATCTGTAATCAAGGAAACTGAGAGACTGGTAATAACAAAACTAGGTACGGAGAAAGCCCAAAAACAATCTAACGATTCTATGAGCAGCAACGAACGCAAAACGACTTAAAGTATAATTAATATAGGTAGGTGCTGAAACCAGTCTGAAGCTTGATCTGAATAAAAAAAAATGTATAATAAATTGATGATATAGATATAACTACATCGTAGTGGTCAATTTTTCTGTTAATTCATCAAAGTTCAAACCCCATACGAACGCTGCGTTCAAAACCTATCTAAAATTCTTCTATTGTGTCTCGAATTGCCAATATTGAAAATTTAAATACAATTATTGTAGGTTATCAGTTTTTAGTCAAATTTCGTTATTTAACAAAATATGAAACAAAATTAACAATCATGATATTTGTACCTGAGTTGGTACATGAAATTATACCTATACCTACCTACTCCTGTACATAACTTATTTTAAAATACTAAAGCCATAAAATTAGCCAACACATGTATAATTTTAATTTAGTTAAGCCATGTAATTAGCTAGCATAAATAATTTTAATGAGTGCATAGAAAAGTACCTGACTGTATAAGGTATTGTTGATAATTTTGCTACCTGTATAATTTTGAGTTGGGTTTACAAAGATTTGTAAGAACTTAAATGCATATTCCAATAGTTAGGTTCTTGGCACTGAAAATTAGGTGAGACGGATTGCATTCGCTGAAACTGTGACGGAACGCTACACTGCAATCGGTGAAAGTGATGCCTTGAATAGTCTAGTCTAGAAGGTACCTAAGTTCAAATGACGTTGAACTTATCGAGTCCATATTTTAACAGCGATTTAGTTGTCCTACAATACAATTTAGGGTAAAAAGTTTATTCTGTGGTTAGGAACATCTCCGTGTATAATTAGGCGTTGATTTCACCTAAAGTTGATTGAATACAAAGTCCAAAGATCATAATTACCTCAAAGGTCGCAGACACCGGCAAGTATGACATAATCGTGATAAGATCACGTTCCTTTTTTTCCACTTGTCGTAATACGGAATCTGACGAATGGCTCTATAATATGTCTCAGAGTTTTGTGGAATGTAACCCGGGTCTCTTCTGTTTGCGATCACCCAGCTCAGCCACATGATCGCATTCCAATAAAGGAAACAGTAATGCGAAAGTCGTAGCGTATTCCATGTTAATGGTATGCATCTAATCACATACATAGGATATCCCCAAAGTAGGACGGATATCAAAAAGAACAGTAAGGGGCCCTTCGAGTCTCCAGCACCTCCAAATAACAGCGCCCACAATTCAGAAAGTGGAGGCATCCAGTGAGACTTCCGTTTCATCTCTTTTTGCAATAGCTTTACAACTTCTATATGCCGGTGGCTCTGTGCAAGCATCAGTGGCGTCTTTCCATTTTTGTCACGAGGTTCCAGTTCTGCTTTGACCTACAAAAATACAAATCCTGACTAAAGTTACTTCTAATACTACCATTATAGGCCAAAATTTTAAATGTTCTTACCTTTTCACATAGTAATCTTACGCAAGTCAAATTGCCCGACAAACACGCTAGATGAAGTGGTGTCGATCCAAAATTGTCAGTGCAGTGTAAAGGCACACCTGAATAAATTAACAAGCGTACTAAGTCAGCATGGCCCTTGTACGCAGCCCAGTGCAGGGCAGTGTCTCCGTTAATATCAGACAGCCTGGTCGCCGCTCCCATGCCCAGCAGATACGCCGCCGTAGCTGTCTTGCCGTACATACAGGCCGTCATTAGTGGGGTCAAACCTATACAAATACAACATGTTGTTTATTAGGTAGGTACAAACGTATTCTGACTCATAGAAAAGAGGTTCGACTAATGGCCAATACTACCTATAAGAATATAATAGGTACCTTTGAAGTCGGCAGCGTTAACCGCAACCCCAGACTGTAACAGCACTTGTACTACTGACGCGTGACCTTTTCGGCAAGCCCAGTGTATTGGACGGGGACCCTTAAAATAAATTATATAAATATTAAGTGTTATATGTACCTACGATACAAATATAATTTGGTAATATATAGATAAAATTTAACAAAGACTAAGTACGTAGTGTAGCAAATAGAGTTAAAAAAAATTACCTGGGTGCCTAAACAAGAAAGGTCGATGGGAGCACCTCGTTCAATGAGATAGCGCATAACCGCCACACTGCCATCCAGTGCAGCCCAGTGTGCAGGAGTGTAGCCATGCTGGTCTCGAGCACTTAGCACTTCCACGCCAAGTTTTTCTACAAGCCGTTCAATTTCTGATACCTCTCTAAAATAAGAATTGGTTAAGGTATGGATGTACTCAACTAGATTATTTAAGTTCACTATTATGTAAATTGGAATAAAATGTCTAACCCAGAACGGACGGCTTCGAAAATAAGTTGATGCAGATCAGAGTGTTGGTTGTAGCTAGTAATTGTACGAGGTGGCGCGGCTGGAGCATCCGGCGACATGGGCGAGCAAGGCGGCAGAGCTTCCTCTGCTGCCATCGTGCAGGGGGGCGGCTGCGGCAGCGCCCACACGCCGCGCGCCGCCCCCGGACTAGGGTACACCTGATCAAAGACAAATATTAATTGACACTCGTCTCCAAAATTACCTACCTTCTAAAACTGGTAACCGTTGCCGATGATTAAATGTCCAAGGCACTGATGGTAGGTATACATATGTATGAGATTGAGACCTATAAATGTTAGGTAAAATACGAGAACAACCTATCAAGAAAGTTGTGTAGATGCGTGATATTATTATAGCGATCACTTTCGGTAATTGAATTCCAATTTAGACTTCATGAAACAGACACAAGTCTGACGGTAAATATTTAGGAATTTCTCTTCTACTCAAATACCTACATTGCCATTAGGCACCTAATCTAACTAGCCAATTTAGATATTTCCTTGGCATACTTAACTATTTAATCGTTAACATTAGTGCGTACTCAATCTTTACCTTAAACATGTCAGCAGGCGAAGACAGCAAAAAATGTCTTTTTTCCTATTGTGTCTGTTTTGATTACATGCTGTACAATCTCAACTTACACGTCTTACAAGACAACAAAAAAGTATAATTTTATTACTAGATGAGCACTTTTGCGGAAGCCTTTAATTAAACCCGCCCCTAAGATGACCCAAACACCATAATTTTTTTACAATTATTTAATTTATTTTAAATACTAGAACCACCTACACAACCACATAAGGTATTCGGCCTGAAACTGATACTACCTATTTGAGGCTTTGTTCAGTATACGTAACGTCAATTTCCTAATAGTACTGACACGCATAATCATGCGCGACTTTAATGTGTACCTAATCCCATGGACCGAGAGAAAAACAAGGAGTGGGTGACCAATTTCTCTTACCTTACTACTCACGGCGAGGCCGACGCCCCCCGCCACCACAGAACCCTCTCCGTCCGCCACGGCCGTATTGCCGGCACACGGACGCACTGTGAAACTTCGTCCTATTTCAACTATTAAAAATTATAAGTAATATAATCAGAAACAAAAGTAAAAACAATTCAAAGATTGCGTGACCTACGGCACCTAACACGGTTATTACTTAAGTATATCGATTCTCGGTTTACAGAGCATGCGCCCTCAGTTTCAGTTCAGTTGTTGACATAAATAAGTTTCAAAGATTAAAACTTTACTAATATACATAATATATTGCAATGAAGTAGTGATCTTGTTTTGTTCAAAGCATCTATTTATTGAATGTTTAAACTTATTACAATTCTGTATTTTTTTAACATTTGTTTCTTTAGCGTTTTGTAAACAGATGTCGCTGTGTTCCCAATGTTAAACTTATTTCAAAAAAAGTAAACGCCGTACTTACATTAAGTTACCTTATCTGGCGAAGTTTTTATGGCGTTTTTCGAATCAAAAACTAAACAAATACGATAATTTATTTTTTATACTGGATTTGCAACGAGTCGCTTGGGTTCGATAGGTACCTCCTAAGATTTTCTTGAATTTTCAATATTGAAGTATGTACCTAGGAACCTTCTGACGTAAGCTATCGAAATATTGATAGGATATTTAAGTATGTATATAAATAACACTATGCGTAGAAAAGTACATCCATGAAGTTAAACAAAAGGTATTTTTTAACATAATTTATGTAGGTACCTAAGCAATTGCGAAAATAATGACAATATGAAAGTTATAATAAGGGTTTCCCTAATAACCGTAAGACTTTTTTTCAAAGAAAAAAATAAGCTGCTCTGAAATTTATCATGTTTAAAATTATGCGAAACTGGCATAAAATGTCCTACACCTACCTACACAATCTTTTATGTGAACGTTTCATTTTTGATCGTTATACGATAACTTATTGATATTATCTTTAAAATATTATTCATACTTAGGTACCTACTTATCTTCATTAGGTACTTAGTGACTATAACCAAACACTAACGTTATTCAAGTAGGAACACAAAAACTGTCATTTTTATTGAATTACATTTGTCTTTTTAATTATTGAATACTTTAATATCTGTATAATTAGGTATGACTTTACTGGTTTAAAACTTTGTTCTCATAATGAGATGCATAAATGAAGATTAGCGCCATCTTTTGAGAAAAATGTGAAAGAGGTGTATTAGTTCACGCCCAACATGTGGGACAAGTTGATTGGGTTAGAAAATTATAATATCAGTATTCTTATTACGAATCATTTACTCCACTTATCAAATATAACTGTTGTCCGATAAAATTGTTCATGGGTAATAGTTATTATTACTTAATATGGTTTATCTTAACTTGATGAATACATAAAATACATCACATGCATTTATAAATAAGTTGGTACTAATATCAATTTAATTATTATTAAAGCACTTATAAGTCAACATTTATTCAGAAGTGTAAGGCACCATGATTATTAAAAATAGGACAAGGTCAATAAAATAAAACCAAAACACATTTTAAAATTGTGAAAATGAACTTTAATTCAGCAAATTTTATACTAAATGTATAAATATGATATAATCTAGATTTCGTTTTCACTACCTAAATAGACATCATGTTATAAAAAGTGTACAACTAAAACTAGTAGCTGATTAAACATCTCAATGTGGCTTATCAATTAGTTAGATCTTGTAAAAGCACTTTCTTTAAAATGGTTTTATTATACTTAAATAATAAGAATAAAATAATGAAAGCATTACAGCTCAAAACTGATGTTGAACTTCCAAACAACAATCATATTCAATACAATCTTAAACTTCTACTAAACTTGAAACTTTAACGAGCAAACCGAATAAATTATTATTCATAAACAAACTTAACAATGTCGATAGCTCAAAATAATAAAATATTTTCAACAAGAGTCAACTGACTGCACATATTATGGTAAAGGTGTACACAAAATTCAGAAATCGGGACTATTTTATATGCAATATTTGATAATGCCAATTAATTAGGTATTGTTTTTGTCTATTTATTACTGTATTGATATTGTAAAGTTTATTAAGTCTTTCACATAAGCATTATCTCTTCTGGGTCTTGAAACTAACCGAGAGAGGTTGGCCATGAAGAACATATCCATTCAGTGCTTGTATTGCCATCGCAGCTTGGTCATAATTTCTCATAGTTACAAACCCAAATCCTTTACTCTTATTAGTTGAATGATCCTTGATTATCTTAACCGACACAATAGCACCATATGGACCAAATAGCTGCCACAGAGTTAATTCTTCAACCTCTGGGGCAATATTATAAATGTATATAGACCATGTACTCGGAGAATTGTGATCTCCAATGGCATTCATATGATTTATCCAATGATAAGGTCTCACAAGTGGATTTTTGGGAAAGTTATTATTATTATTTTTATGTTTATTAGGGTTACTCTTATTAGCATACTTAACAGTTAAAGGGTGTAAAAAGCCAGGCGGTGTGGTGCCATTTATGTTCTGAATGGCTCTTTCCGCTTCATATTGGTGTTCATATAAAACAAATGCTATACCTGCAGCTATACGAGAATTAACTATTTTACCAAATTGTGCGAATAATCCATGTAAATCCTGCAAGGTCAGTTCATTAGGCAGGTTACACACGTAGAGGTTCCAGTCAGCTTCAGGTTTCGAAGGCGGTTTTAACTCCGGATTAAGAAGTGCGTGCGACACTTTGAGAGTCTTGTTTTGCATTAGAAGTCCGTTAAAAGCCTTACGTGCCTTGACTGCATCCTCGGGACGAGAGTACTCGACGAACCCATAGCCTCGGTTTGCTATCAACTTACAACTTTCCAATTTACCCATTGTTGAAAATAGTGAGAACATCATATCCTGCGTCATGACTTCAGGAATGTAATTGACGATAAGTTTGGTGGGTGATTCGTCCGGCCCAAATTCATTATTTCCTTGACAATTACCGTCTTGACACGATTCCGACATTTTTTAATTGTTGTCGGTGAATGACATTTCACTGTAGTGTTGCGTGTTTTCTTATGTACGTTCGGAAATTAGCACGATAGTGACGTGACATTTGTCTATGAATCCTATTAGAACAAAAATTATAAGAAATTACTATTTACCTTTTGAGTTTTAACTTATTAACTTTAAGTTATAAACCCTCGGAAAGCCTCTTTATCTACAATTGAAATTGATTAGATATTACTTAAAAGTTTTTGATACGATATAATAAACATATGCGTAGTAGCACTCAGTTTTGCGCTAATGTCTACTACGTATATTTTTTATATTACTAATTTAAAAAAAAACAATGGAAAGAATGTAAGACTTCGGAGGAAAATCATCAAATGACTTCTCCCACAGGGTAAGACGAGAGAAAGGGTCAGACTCTTACTGACCAAAAATAGTTCTTTCTCCTGCTTTAGGCCGAGGCCGCGGTGCCACATTGCGCCTACCTACCACGCAACCCCGGCTGAATATCAGCCCTGTAGGGCCTCGTTTGTTGTGGGATATTGGCTCTTTACTGCTCGCGCGGAACGCTACGCCACTTACGCTCGGGCCGCAGACCCGGCGTTCATCCGGTCCGGACCGTCTGGTGGCCGGAAATAGTCTCTCGAAAGAAAGAGTGTTAAAATATTAGGTTTAACTAATAGCTAAAATAAATTTAATTATACAAAAAAACTACCTTAATATATTTCTGTAGTAAGGTTAGTGGTACTTAAATAAACGAAAAGTACCTAGTCATTCTGGGCTTGGGCAGGATGTTTCGAAAATGTAAGTAATACCTATATTTTCTACGAAGACACATTATTACGGTTGAAAATGAATATGTTTTATCAACTTGTAAAATAAAAGAATCGAATACCAAATTGCATCCAGGGCAGGCTAGTAGTAGGACCTAGTTTCATAAATTACTAAACAATTTAAATTTCGCGGACTATATTCTTAACTCACATGACAATTGTTTCCAAGCTTTTAAAGAGTATTTCTAAAATATGAAAACTAACTAGTATTTATCCATTGTTTTATATTTTTTATAAATACCTACTCAAAAATAATTTCTCTGACATTGATATACTTAATAATAAATTCGACGAGTCGGTCTGTTTTGAACCAGACTTGAGCGTGAGTTTGCCAGCAAGGCCGATGTTTAGCCGGGGTTACGGGTCAAGCACAATAAGGTACCGCAGCCTAGGCCTACAGCAGGAGCATGAACGGGTTCTTCGTCAGTAATAGTCCCTCTCGCCATATCCTAGGCGAAAGAAGTCGTTTAACGATTTTCCGTCCCCAAAAAAGGAAGGGGGGGGAGGTTAAAATTGAGTTTCCTTATTCTGGTGCAAGCCCTATTGAGGAGTCACCTTAACATTTCAAAACTTTTTACGTCCTTTTCGTTAAAATGACGAACATCTGTTTAAATGTGACCAGCGAATCCAATATTCGGAAGAATAATATATCGCCACGATATATTATTTGTTCAGAGTGTCAGTGGCCCTTTCGCTGATCTCGCATTTATACATAAGTAAACATTTGAACATAGATTGGTTCTCAGATCACACAGTAAAATTAAAAGATTTGGATTTAAATTCTCTAAAAATCAAAACTAATTTGAAACATAAATTAATTTTCGTTTATTACCCAAATCTGTTGTTAGATAAAAAAACATACCTCCATGTTTTGATCAAAATTAATTAAAAGCTATAAATATTGCAATTACTATTACATCAAAACTTTTTCTCATATTTGGTTTTATTCTCATATAAATTGGAAAAGTGATAATAAAAACAACGAAAGCATCCTTTGCACCAATAGCTATATTTTCTTGGATATAAGTACATCACCACTAAATAGGCAAACTATAAAGTTGTCACATTCGAGATTATTATTTTGAACAAATTGTACACAGATGTGTAATAGCAAAACAAACAGTAAAATATTTTTTTAATAGCTACCACTAATTAATTTATAACATACATCAACATGGTATATTTTTAGTTCAAAATAAATTACTTTATAACATACTCTGATGTTCGTCAAATACATTATTTTTTTTAATAAATAATTACGACCCTTGCACACAATACAATGTACCTGGACATTAAGTGAATTGTATGTAGCTTTTATCTCTTCTAAGATATACAGCTAAGAATATAAACACTTGTCCACTATGTTGTTGCGTGAACAACATAGATAACATTCTCGATTTAGCTACATTATTTTTAATTGGGAAGTCAAAACGCTGATCCGTAGTCATTTAACAGATTCAATACTCACAAGCTAAAGAACATTAAGCACAAATCTTTAACACTGAACATTGAACTACATAAGCACCTTTATAAATGCATAATATATTTTTTAACATTATGAAGATCAAAATATTCGATACTGTACAGTTTTTCATTTTTAAAACTTATTTCTTAATTAATGTGCTGTAAAAAGATTTCAGATCAAAAATAACTAAACAAGGATTTTAAAGTTAAATAACAAAAATAATCTAACAATCACATAAAAATAGGAAGGAACTATGATCACAAAATAAAAATACCCAAAGGTATCTGTTTAATAAATAGGCCTATGATTTGGGTAATCTCCATGGTAACAGTGGAATGTAAACAAATTATATACTTTTTAATAATCTGATTCCAATTTACGTGAAATACATATTCACAATTTTAAATTAGAGCTAATCCACATACACACACATTTAATAGCATCACCACATAGCTAGTTGGCTACAGCTCATGCAAGTGTTTAACTAAAAAAATAAAAGTAATACCCATCTCCATATTTGTCATAACACATCAATACTTAAAAGGTCCAATATAAAATAAACATTTAAAAATAAGCTGAGCTTGTCAATTAATCAACACCTATAAGCTAATTAAATATTTGTATAAAGCAAAATATTGTGAAACATTTACTACACACAATTATTGTCATGATTATCATATAAAACCACATAAAATATTATAAAACTCTTTGGTTAACATTTTATATTCTTTTAGTACTGATTTGGTTTGTTCAGGAAGTAAAAAATATATTCTTTACATTTATAAATGTACCAAACACGAATCCTGTGAATCCGAAAATCATGATTACTATATCTTTCCACAACTTCCAATTGCTTTGTCCAAGTTGGTCAGGCCAGAATGTCATTATTTCTATAAGTGGTGGAAAGATCAGTGCAAGTGCTGAGCTGCTAAACGCTCCGACCAATGATATTATACCACTCAAGTTCGGAATCAGGGCTGCTGCCAAAACTGCAATAGATAATAATTATATTTAAACATATATTGTAATGATATCACAGGTCAACAATTATGTGAGTACCTACAATAAGAGCGATGGTATTTCCCACATCATATAATATTGTAAATATTCAAGGTAAAAATCAATATTTGATTGATAAGAGTGACAGCCATGTGGCAAACATGATCAGTATATGACACATTTTATATTTTCAGTCACTTCATAATATAACCAATTGTTTTAGTCCAAATGTGATAAACTTTGAACCAGGGAGACAAAACAACAATTTATAAATCTGTGTCCTATGATAAGGATACTTTAAGTTAGGTGAGAGATGTAGATGATCAAAATAAACTTACATGTTATGGAAAATAGCACAAACCGCGTTGCTGCTTCACCATGTTTGAGAGCTTGTTCTGAGGTAAGTTTTGACTTCACATAAGGCCAAACTATGTTCATGGGTACATAGAACTGTAATCCATATGATAAGAAGATTGAAGCTGCCATAACTGCCCGGACACTTTGAGCTAATCTGGGAGTAAGAAATATATTTATATAGAAATATTTTTATTGCGTTCAAAATATTAATCAATAGATAGTAAGTGATAACTTACAATGAGTTTGGCAGATTAAGCGTTATGCTACCTTGCACTCGTTCGCCATACTTAAGGTACCCGAAAAATCCAATAGCTGTATATAATGCGGCGACTATCACCATGCCAGTGTTGAGCACACCATTCCAACCACCAAAGGCCTCTGGGGTTTTCATATTGTTTTCTAAAGGTAAGATCTGCAATAGTACACGGAATTATTATAAAAAAACCGTATAAATCATTCCTAAATAGATAAGTGAAAATAAATAAAAAGCTTCATTAGTAATTGCAGTTAATTATGCAGGCTATAGTGATATAAATGTACATAAATATATCAGTGTCTTTCCTTTATGCCTGTGTTTTTATAACAGGCATAAAGGAAGCATAAGTTATTTCTGTACAAACCATTATGTAGTTGCAATACATCTAATTCTGAGTACCTAACCAGTATGTTTACAAATATGTGTAGGTGGTGGTAGAACAAGATTTTGTCGGGTTTACTATAAATCAGTAGTGGTGCTATAATATATGTGAAAGCAACTCAGTTTTAAATTTATATGTTAAAGATTAGTATGTGCCTGCTGCCTGTAAGCAAGTAAACCAGTCAGTGTTTTAGATTTGATTTGAGTGTGGGAGAGCTAAGCTTCCGCACGAATGGGTCGGCTCGACCGGAGTGATACCACGGCCTCACAGAAAACCGGTGTGAAACAACTACAACGTTGTGTTTCGCCGTGTGAGCGAGGTTACCGGAGGCCCTCTCCCCACATCCCTGCTCAATCCTTAAATATCTGAAACCCTTATCACCCTTATCCTTTGGTGTAGCGAGTGTCCATGGGCGAAGCTGATTGCTTACCATCAGGTAATCCGTTTGCTCGTTTGCCAATCCATTTCATGAAACAAAGATAGGTAAATACTATAAATTCTGCATTTGTATTAGGCATTTAAGTTTAATTGATACCCATTGTTATCGAGGTCTTACAATTGCGTAACTCAATGCGAACTTATGGCGTCATAGTACTGCATCGCTACCGAATTATGTCATGGGAGTGACGTCATGGAGTCGTTATTAAAGCTGTGTATCAATTACATTCTACGATCTCATGATGATATGCTATGAATTTATATTAGTATTTGCCGCTTGGAACGTTAAACAATTTATCACCGCATTTGATAATATTAAATAAATTGATAATCAATAAACGGTAGAAGTATGTACCAGTATAATACTTCTACCAAATGATCCATTCCACAACTACCCACTTAGGTGAGTTATGTTATACCATACACCCACCCACACACGTAATAGGTACCGATATTCATATCAGTCCGCTTCAATTTTCTCGATTTATTGAACACATCCGCTTATTTATACGTACCTAGGGCCGTTTGAAGCCTTGACCAATACTATTTAGGTATAAAAATACGCAGTGTCGGTAGCTCACGTTAAAATAATAAGTATTTTATATAGGTACCTAGGTTATTTCGTACTGCAAGAATTAAATACAAAGGTGTAAGTACTGTTAGGTACTTTTTACCTTTGGCACTGATTAATTAACCAAATTCGAAATTCCTAGAACGATATAACACTTGTGACGGAAACATTTTATGGCTTAAGGACACAAACGAGACGAAATGGCAGATTTCATGGACTTCCGAAACTCACAACGGCCCAAAGAAATGAAGTACAAGCTTACTCAAGTGTTTCGACACTCCAGTTTTAAGCGGTTTTGAGTATCACTTCGGTCGAACTTGTCTATTAGTGCCGATGTATGCATCTCCCGAGAAAACGCGTAGTGTGGTCAGTCAGTTCATTGAACAGTATCTGGTAACTACCAAGAGCATGGACCTACTTTTACAAGATCTGTTAGATCTACCTGTTTCGATACATCGCGAGACCGTTACTTTTGTATATAGCTTCTCAAGTCTCAACTTCCGGCTTTTTGCGGTTGACTCGTATTTTATCGTGGTTTTTGCTGAGATGAATATTAAACGTATAAATACAACTGTGTTAAAATATAGAAGGAGGGTAGAATCAACTTATGTAGATAATAATCTCAGATAACATCAATGACGTACCTATTTAGTTTTACACATCATATGATAACATAAATGAATTGCAGCATATGTTCTTAGTATAGATTTTTACGATTCCATAGAGTTATAGGTTTAATTTTTACATAGGTATATTATGCTCATGAAACTAATGTTAAACAGACAATCTGAACTAGCTCATGGCTGCTATTGCTATTAGTTAGTTAGGTAGGTAGGTAGATACTATACATATATGCCGTGCATGTATTTATTATATATATGTACTTGTATCCAGAGATCATTTTATAAAGCTAGTAGTGTGTCCTTGAACTAGGTTTTGTAAATTGCTTACAGAGATATATTATGTCACCACCACTTTAGGATTGCACTGCAACAGTTGGTGTTCCTTGCATAGTGCAGTCATTAAGTAATATTTTGAAATGTGCAAATAAGGTGATTAAACAATAAAAGTGAACTCACCACTCCTATTCCTTCGAATGCATATATAGCTGTACCAAAATATAAAGGTATCTGATGCCAGGTAGAGAATGCTTTCACAGTACGCGTAGGAGGCAAATCTTGAAGTATATAGTAAAATGTTATCACAAGGCCCCAAGCAGTCATTATGAAGGCAACCAGAGAGACTGGTGACAGATACTTTAAGTTCTTCACCATAGCCAGTGCAAATATTGGTAGATATAATAAAGCCAAGTACACATGTACATTTAAGTTTACATTAAAAAAACGCATTGTATCTTGAAGGTTAGTGGCAACAAACAAAAAGTAAACACAGCAAAATCCCATTTGTGTTATTACCAAAAATACACTGACAATATTCCTGAAACAATACATATTGTCATAAATGTTGTTATTCAGATCAGCACTTAATTATAATGGTATATAAGTACTCATGCCAGACATGCTATGAGACTATGTTATTTAGAAAAAGACCAACCAAACATTATCTCTTGAAAGGTTCAATAACTCCTCAAATACTTTAAGTAAATATTATTATTAAGTAAGTAAGCTTAGTGGAAATTATTCAAATTGTTAAATTAATTGAGGTGAAAAGATAAGGAGACTTCATAAAACATGCCTACTTATCAATACAAAATTATTGTTTGCTTGTCTGTTCAAATCTCAATTGTATAATGAAGACAAATATGTAAATTGTTTGTGAGTGATATTCCTATATGATAACAAACAAACTTAATTACTAGGAAATTTTCACTTTAGAGACCTTATATAATATTAATTGATAATTATGTGAAGACAAAACTATTTGTATGTTTTAGTATAGATGATCATTTGGATATATTACAATAAATAATTTATCTGCTAACTACATTGTATTTAGATGGCACATTGGTATTCAGTTCTTTGTGAAGTCAATATATTTATACAATAAATATTTATCAAACTTGCATTTGAACTGTGCAGTAAAGCAAGCGGTGAACTGATTAGATTACCCTTAGACATGACTGTGTCAGTTTATGTAGTAAAAAGTAATGATTGAAGTATCTAGTAACAGCATATCAAGTATCTTAGATAGTTTAGATGATGTAGGTTACTTTAAGAGTAATGTGATTTACTTTATAAGCCTTTGTTAACATCTTTTTGCCTTGTAGGATGCAAATGAATAATTATGACATACATGTATTTTTTTCTACTGTCCAGATTTAACCATAATTAATAAGTTGACTAGATAAGAAAAAACCTAAGTATTTAAAGAAACTATGCAAAAATCTTAATAAAATAATACACAATATTTTAACATGATCTAAGTTTGTTTCTTTGATAAGAATGGTTTTCAATTAAATTGAATTAAAAGGTTGTTATACACAATGCAAAAGCAAAATCATTTTAGCTGGGGAAATGCAAAATTTTATAGATTAGGTCACTTACTTCATACTTTTAGCATATGGCCTTAGAGAAACAGGTCCTGATGCAAAGGAATCTTCTACAACCTCAGAGAAACTTAGTGCTGGTTTTTGACTGCGGATGCAGAGCTCATGTGAACATTTCACTAGCATATGCATACAATGTGTGCATATTGCACCCATGATAAGTGTTCCAAACACACCTGGCAAGGAAAACATTCTAGTTATTATGTAAATCAATGTAGAATTAAATAAATGTGCTGTGTGTATTATCACTCAATTCTACACAATAATTTGTGTTCTAAAAAAATGTTAATTGTAAATATTTTCAGTTGCATATCATATACAGTCTATGGCTATGGCTCAAAGTCAAAGCAGATTATAAATTAAACATTTGGAGGGCTTAAAGGTCTCAAAATTTAATTTAAAAAGTTTTACCTTATTACAATAATATAAATAAAAAGAAAATCTATTACAAATTATAATTACAAATTCCTAACTAGTAGAAAATATTAATAAAAATTATAGCTGATTTTGGGTCAACAACTACCTGCTACAGTTAATTTATAAATTAAATATTTCGGGTAGGTATCTAGCACATCAAGCTAGCATATTGTGAAAACATAATGTATCCCCATTTTCTTTTACAAAATCCCCTCGGTGGGTATACTGATCTAAAATAGTCTTAGTATTCACCAATTCAAAGCAATCGTTCCTAATAGTTGAATATATAAACAAACAAAATTTATCAACACTTACCAAGCACTAGGCCAGCATTTTTAAAAGCATCTGGCATTGCTAGAATTCCTGTCCCTATATTTCCTTTTAAAAGATGGATTAAAGTATCGAAGTTGGAAGTTGGATGCTCCAAACATCTTTCCGACGCCGGGTGGTAGTCTCCTTTGGGTTTTTCACTATTACTCGAAGGCGATGCTGGATCTGTCACTAATTCTACTGTTTGTTCAACACTTTCAATTGCATTGTTAGGTCCAGTGAGCAGTGGTTGCTTTTCATCGTTCATTATTTTATTCTATACTTTTATGCTTATATGTACTTTAATAAATATTACGCAGAGCCATACGCCTCAGCTTCACAGTCTCCTTATCAAAATGGACTGACTGAATATTATTCAAGTGATCAAAATTTGAAACGAGATGTCGTCACACATACATACAGTAATAGAGATGCTACTTTTTGAGAATGACTGTTACTAAATTACTAAAGAAAACTTGTTTATTGAAAATACTCAAGTGAAATGAATTAAATATTTTTTATATGTATAGATGACAATATATATTATATAAATGAAATGGAAATAACTGAAGACTTCCGTATCAGAGTTGATGGTTGAACCAATGTTGATTTGAAACGTCAACGTCATGTGTTTTCAACGTCAAACCACTTTATTCTGTCAATGTCATCTTCATCAAGTCGTAGTAGAAGACCCAATCTATGTGACAAAAATATTTTTGGGAAATTATTTTGTCTGGCGAAAGAATGGGAAACGCAGGGAGTAATCAACCTAAAGAATGGCACCGAGACGCTGTGACGAAAGCTCCTGACGTTGGGCCGTCATCACCAGTCAAAGAAGGCGAAGCGTTCACATTTGACAAGAAGATTGACGATGATCGCATTGGCAGAGACGAGGAAAATAACATTGAAGATGGTGCACCATATTATACCAAGGCTGTTCCTGAAAGTGATGTGGAATATAGCGGACCACGTGAGAGATCGAATACATTGACAGAGAGTAGCAAGATTATTGACGATGTAAAGGTTTTGCCAACTGTTTTTAAATGGGAAGGAGGGGGTAAACAGGTAAGTTAAATGAGTCAATAAGAGTTTAGGCTAACCAATTGCAAATCTAGTAAATCTTGTTTCTTTATTTTAGGTTTATATAAGCGGAACATTTACTGATTGGAAAACAATTCCTATGGTGAAATCCCATGGAGATTTTGTAACAATAATAGATTTGCCTGAAGGTGAACATCAGTACAAGTATTTTGTTGATGGAGAATGGCGACATGACCCCACTGTGGTATGTTTTATTTATATCTACTACAATGTTGTCTTACTTTTGTTAGTGCATTCAGATGTAAATAATTGCAATAACTAGTTGGTATCAGCATATTTTTGCTTTTGTACTTGAAGTCATATTGTAGATTAGCATATACATTACTGTGTTCACAATAACTATAATATCTTGAAATTATTCATATTTTCAGGCTTTTATTTATTTTGTTACAGAAGGTAGTGGATAATGGCATGGGAAGTAAAAATAACCTGGTAACAGTAAAAATGTCAGATTTTGAAGTATTCCAAGCTCTTGCAAAGGACAGTGAAGGAATACATAGCAGTGCTCAAACAGAGTATTCACAGGTTAGTTGACAAAAACCAGGATGGTGTAAAAGTTGTCACCAGCACCCATCTGATTTTAAAACAATTTATAAATTGTATTTTTTTAGGAAATACCTCAATCCAAGCCATGGGAAAAAGTTTCAGGGCCACCTATTTTGCCTCCGCATCTATTACAAGTCATTCTAAATAAAGATACACCATTGTCTGTAAGTACCCCCTTCTTATTGGAACTTCATAACTAGCTTTAAAATTTAGTCCTATTTTTGTGAATTACTATTGAAAGTGTTTGATTGTTACTTTATTAATATTTTTCAGTGTGAACCAACATTGTTGCCTGAGCCCAATCACGTTATGTTGAACCACCTTTATGCATTGTCCATCAAAGATGGTGTCATGGTATTATCAGCCACTCACCGGTACAGAAAGAAGTATGTAACAACACTGCTTTACAAGCCCATATAAGTATTAAATCTGATGATCTGATGTATCATAGTTTCCTAAAGCACAACAATGCTTCCATAATTCAAATTTTCTAATAATAAACACTACTTACAGCTATATTAATTCCAAATACAAGCGGTATTTTTGCACTAAGTTTCATAATTATCTATAGATATCTGCAGTATAAGTAGCTATGATAAAAACTGCGAAATCATGTGTGAAGGTATAGTATTATTGTTCTTTTCTATATTTGTTTATTTTGTACTATTTGGTATTAGTACTAATGTGTCTGAAGTGCAATGGTCTTAATGGGGAATATATAAGCTAAAGTATGGGACCCAGTTACTTCTGATGAAGTTTCCTTTAGTGATATGAATACAAAGGTGTCTGCACTAGTGTGTGTAAATAAGATCAAATCAGTATAATAGTTGTATTATACAACAGTTTTTGACAAATAATAATGGATAAAATGTTATTACATATTTCTAAGTGCAGTCAGATGTGATAATGTACTTTGTTTTAAATTATTGACTTGTTGTGATTGTAACTATTAGTTAGGTATAAATTTAACGTGCTTTGTTAAAGTATAATTATGTAAACATTAGTGTGTAAATAAAAGATCTATATAAAATTGATGTCTTTATTTATATCAATCTAAAAAAGTCACTTTTAATTTTTTGTTAATACAAACATAATTTAATATTACAATTAAGAATTAGCAATGTACAAAATTATAGGTAATAACAGTTTTTAGCAATAAATGCAGCTACAGCCTGTCGGGAATGAGGCTTCAATGAGAAAATATTGATTTATTTAAAATCTTTCACTTTTCGTAAATTCAATTATATTTGTGAATTTGGTGCTAAGCCCCATCTCATGGGGTTAGCAACAATTTTTATAACACTTTATTTACAAGATAATTGAAAGACAAGCTTTATAATTTATTTTATCTCTGATGACATTTTTTATTTACTACGAAAAATCATATAAGATAACATTATAAAAATATATACTTATGCAGATGCTTCATTGATCAGATTATAATGAATTAAGATAAAGCAAAAAACATCAACAATTTAAGAGGTGAGTGAACAGAGTGAGACAAAATGGGCACAAGTTACCCACTTGTGTCCATTTTGAACTATTTCTTGTGTAAAACGATTGATGTAGGTATTCCATTATCTACTTACAAAAGTTGCAGTTAATATCACACGCGTATTCTTATCTGTTTAAGGATGGTTGTGGGAACAAGCAAATAAACAAATGTTTCTTCTAATGTTGTCTCAAAAAATTTCCAAAAACAAGTTGTTCCCTTTCCTCTCTTATCATATTTATTGAGTAGCTAGTGTGAGCATGCAATTGTGGCAACTTATACCTGAAGAGTGTTTACGATAGACGGTATTTAATTAAGATATGCATTATAATAACAAAATTTCCCATGGTGTCCCATTGATATTATTTTATACTAGGGGCCCGCCCCTGCGTCGTGGCTACCTCGCTACAGCCGCAATGGTCGCTAATTTCCGATGATCCCCACTACTTTTCTGAATATTTCTATAAAAAAATTGGAAATGCGCTAAGTCATGCACTTACCAGCCCATTTTATTTTGCGATTCATTTATTTATACATATAAAGATGTATCACAGACAGGACGTCTAGTACCTACATTAATTTGGCCACTGCTGCATGTATAAGAATCAATCTCGGAAGGAAAATTAGTAGATATAAGAAAAGTAGTACCTACTAAGAAGTCAGAGTAATCCTAGAGTATTGTGATGAGGGTAGGCTGTCATTACATATGTATATACAATAACTTTGGTTGCACTTTGAACTATTTTTATATGTTAATCTAAGATTGAATGAAGAACCTATGTTACCTATGAATGAGACTAAACTGTTGAGTTATACGGTACCTAAGTGATGTTATACATCATGATCTAGTGAGATATATTCCTCATAAGGCATACTATATTAATGTACCTGTAAAGCAGTAGCGGCACTATATTGTGTCTAGACTGGTCGACGCTGCGACAATCACTGTTGCACTACTGATATCTGTATTCAGGATCAGGAATGTAAGTAGAATGTCGCTACTGCTTACGGAAAAAAATCGATCTAGCCCAATAATTCAAATTTTCATTTACTTACCGTTTATAATAAAATAAATCAAGAAACTTTTCATATAAGTAAAATATACAGAGAGCTATTTTCGAGTATCTACAAAATAAATTTTCGAGTATCTAAATATACCTACTGAGTGTTGATGTGATAATTTATTTTATAATATTTAGGTATTAGGTTTCCATCATACACATCATCTTTAGCAACGGATTTAATGGAATTGAGTGGTAAGTATAATACAAAGAGAAAAATTTAATTTTTGGGCGTAGTAAAAATTATGGCTAAAGTTAAATTATTATTTTACCTAAGCATAAGAAGTATGTTATTCTATTCCGTTATTGTATTTCCGTTATTGTAAGTGGGGCACCAAACTTATACACTCAATATTAAAAGGTACCATAAGATACATATAAAATCTAATATTGCATCAATTCCTATAATTACATTTACCACTGTATCGATTGTTACCTATTCTAAAAGACATTTGATGAGTGGTAAGTCACAAATGTATGCAAATCATTAAATTATACTTAACTGCAATAGAATTTAATATTGAAATAAAAAATCTAATAATAAGTATATTACCTAATACTGTTCAAATTGTTTACTTCCATACCTACACAACTAGGTATCTAATAAAAAAATTAGAAATTTGCGACAGACCTATTTTGTGAAATCATTGGGATGCGGATGGTATTAAAAAAATAGCATATCTGAAAGGTGGAAGTGGCGAATTTGGACTACTTATCCCTGACAGCATGGCGAATTAGAGGTATATTATTTTATGTTTTGTTTCATTTTCTATTTGATTTTTTACAACAAAGTTGCATTCAGTATAACTGGTTCCGTAGGCTTGTAAAATTACAAAAGATCTAATTTCATAAGGAACTATGACAATTAGTTAAAGATCTAATTAATGTACTTATTTTGAAGTTACTTCTAAAAGTGGTTCCCTATCCTTTGCATCACTTAAATTCATTGTGACATTGCTTACAGGATTTTTAAAATACATTGCAACAGCGATACTGACTAGACAAATTGATAACACAGTAAATGGTGTTATCACAATACTAAATAGTATGTAACATACTACAGCTGTTATTACCAACTCTAAAGCACTAGCATACGTTTTCAAAATGGAATTTAAATTTTTCAAAAAGAAACTAGTCACTATGCCCACCACAGCACTGTTTATGGTTATAAGTATTACAAAAATGTTGCCTAAAGAACTGAAATCTTCAAATATTGTTCCCAATTCACCTTTGAACATTAAAATAAAGAAGTTACACAGGACAGAGTCCAGATACATAAACACATTTTGTAAGAATATGTCAACATTAGAACCTTTGGTTTTCAACAAATATTCGTTGTATGTACCAGCTAGACATGAGCAGAAATTTTGGAAATTAATGGATAAGAAATAAATATTGAATAATTGTGACCAGAGATCGGTATCGTCTCTTGATTGTATTGATGCCGCGTCAAAATTCTTAATCATGCATCCAAGTGTCAGTATTCCTAAGGATATCCACTGCATGAAAGCCAGTTTCTTCTTAAACAAAAACTGAAAACAAAAATACACATTATAATTAATTGATTTGCAGATTTATTTTTAGAAGATGAAACAACAAACATCGCAGCGAGTAACTGTGCAAACAGTGACAAGATTCTCTGTATCTGACAAATATAGTGAGTATGTACCTACATTATAATATACGTATCAGTACCTAGTCTATAATATTTGCTATTTTAGTGGGTATTAGAAGATGTATACACACATATACATTTATGTGTTTGTCTTTTACTTCAGAATCTTTACTTCATGACAATAAATAAAATACGTTTCAATTGTTGTAAAAACAGTTGTGCTATTTGTATTTGCTAGTTGCATTCTAAATACCTTCACATTACCTACGTTATTATGGGACTCGTTTTATTTTATGATCATTAGTAAAATTACTCCTTTTTAGACTAGTTTTAACATTTAGTTAAAAAAGGTATTGAGGCAGTCTCATGTGTGCACCTCACATTCCTGATGTATGACTGTGTAATAAAACTGTCAGATAAAAATGTTATTTATTGTAGTTGTATAGGAAATGGTGGCTATCTAGTTATTGTAAAACATAATCATTGTTACATACCTGAAAGAGTAAAGCTGTCAGTACCACGCGGAACTGTAGTAGAATGTAGTACGAAGTGGGGTCATAGTGAGATAGGTTTATAAACGCCAAATTGTTGTAAAAACAGTACAACAGTGATGGGATAAAGTACATCAACAGAAGCTCATAATTCATAACAATGGCCTTGAACAGATGTGGTTTATTTCTGAAAATATAAATGGAACATAATTAGCTTCAATATCCGATATTTGTGATATTTGGGAAAGATTTTTTTAAACAATTCTTATCGAAAATATCAAAAAGTAATTAAAAATAAACAAGCCCTGTATAAATTTAGTTATTTTTAAATTTATATTATTTCCTATAGTTTTTAAACTTTGTTGCAGAGTAAGTAGGAAAGGAATTAAAAGAAAAAATAATAATTGAATGAGTTAGTAGTTCACAAAAATCATTTCCCTAAGGTCATAGAGCCGAGACGCGCCTTACCTTAATGTGCGGGGCTCTGTAGAGAAAGACAGAGTGGTAACAGCTTGAGTTAGGGAACTCAAGCTGTTACTCATCGTAGAAGCAGCATAGGTTCTAGTAAAACCAACTCGAAGGCGACCGTGGCAGACACCACACACCACACAGTTTGTTCTCACGAGACGAAAAGCGGGCTGCAGACTTTAGCTACACTAAATGTGTAAGGAGGTGTGAAAGAATGACTATGGAAAAAGAAGATGTATGAAGGTGAGATGTAAGGGAGTGGGCATCCCTAAATATGGACTGTGTGCGAAGTGTACGGCGCAGTCGGACGCCAAAACAATACGGGGCGGCGGCGCCGCCAGGGATGTTTTTTTATATATCTAATAGGGTTGGCGATATATTATTTGGAAACGGATCGGAACGGATTTGGAACGGAAAAACTTGAAACGAAACGTTTAGTGCGTGTTCGTGGGATAGCTATAAAACTGCGTGGGATAGCACTTTGTCATTTGACTGTTGGTGCAATGATGGCAAGAACTTGAGGGGGATCAACTTATATGTAAATCCATTTAAGATTCATAGAAAGTATCAAACAAAAAACTGAAAAGCTTGCAACTTTGCGCTTGTGTTTGGGTTTTGAAGCCGGACTTTTAAAAACTTTCCTTGTTGTTAAGGCTAATGGAACGCCTGTCGATTTTCACTAGTGTTTCTAACTGGCATTTAGCAGACCCAACCCGATATGAGATGAGAACAGCACTCCAAAATTGCTACCAGCCACTTACGCCCTCGGCTCGATATAGGAGCCAAATTTAAACATGGACATCTAACATAACTCGGGGTTATGCCAAAAAGCTCGTGGTGGCCAGTTTACGGAATAGACAGACTTCGGATAGTACAGTCCGGAGTAAATGGAATTAATGTGATCTCAGGTGACACATTTGTAAACATAAAACTGCATAATTACATAGTATGCAGCAAAAAGAGTACTTACTCGTAAAAGTAGTGACCCCTGAAGAATCCTGGCACTCATGCCAAATTTGTCAGTCGAGCTACTATCAATTACAACTACTCGAATTGATCGATCCCCGAAGTCTGATATTCTTCTTCATATACCACCAAAAAGTCCAAGAAAAAAGGCAAGTTTCTATGCCAGATAGTATAGATACTGTTGAAGATTTTAAGAGTAAGATAGGACCGTCAGGGAATCAGCCGTTCAGTACACACTATGTTCAGCATAGTCTTACAGAGTATGGAAGTGACCAAGACAAGCAAACATAAGTTCTATTTTTGGATAGATGTTGCACGTTAACCAGCTTCTGCATTTGATCGATTCGACAGGTGAAACAGACATATCTGGATTGGACACGATTCTGGTCTCAGGTCTCAATTGTCTTTGCCGGGGCTGCGGGGTAAGCGCAATGAGGCACCGCGTGTTTTTAGTCAGTTGGAGTCTGATACTCTCTCTCGCCTTACCCTGGGCGGGAGAAGTCATTGGATGATTGTCCCCTGACAAAAAACGCCTTTAAAATTACAGCCAGGATTTCATCTGGATAGCTGGCTTTTTCACGTCCAGGTTAAGCAGTATTTTGTAGACCTTCTTTTGTCGGAGGCGAATGTGGACTGGCAGTTTGATTAAAGGCTTTCATAAGATGAGTGTCGCCAGGTATGCAACGCTTAGGCACGTATCGCCGAAAGATGTTACGTCTGAGAATGGAATGTAATATACTAGGCCCGAGGCAACATACGCGTTATGGCACTCGCACAGTCTGACGGGTCATTCTAATGACCCGAGAAACAAAAAGGCCGCCAAAGATTGGATACAAAAAAAAAGATCCAATTCTTTCCAACTGCACCAGACAATGGTTAGAGCTTCCCACGGGTGACGACTCTGACACAGAGTGCCAGAAAAACATCTGATCTGGGCTTTGCACACAAGCGTTTTTGAATCTCGGACCTGGATAGAACCTTACGGCAACCTAATTCGATGTTCATCTGTCTGCATATTGGAGCTTCACGAAAGATATAAGTAAAATGTTAGATTTTGAGGCAGTCGATAAAGACGTGGCATCAACGTTGGGACAGTCCACTTTTTGGTTAAATATCGAATGTGTTCAACTCATCGATGTTGACAGTTCAAGTATTTGCTTTAATATTATATATCATAGAGATTAGCAAGTGACGAATACCTAGGTATGTGAAATAAGAAAAGGAGATTTTCTTCGGGTAGCAGGCACTCATCACATTCAAAAGATATGGCTAGATGCGGCAACAAAAATGAAATATAGAAAATATGATTGGTCGAGGTTAACTAGTCGGTGTGCAGAAAATGTTCGACTGGCTACGTAAGCCTTGTGTTTTAGTAGCAACACTGCCTTATCTATGGAAGTGAATAATGAGTTTGGGAAGAGAAAAGCACAAGTAGTATCTAATAAAGCAAGCTCCATGTAAATACGGTAGATAAGCGTTTCCAGAGTTGCACGTGCGGTGTCACTTTGTTCGATAGTGAGAAATGATTTGATAAGAAAACGTTGCAACGTTAAAAAAGACGTGCTCCCAAGAATAGACCGGAATGTAACACTATGGTAGTTTGTGGTTTTGATGGTTATTTTAATGAAAGCAAGGATTACGACGAAGTATCTATAAGAAGGACATTAGCGCTAAATGAGAGAGCGCTTTGGAGATTATATTAGGTATACTAAAATTTTCAATCTAATCTCGAAAAGGTAGTCTAAATATTAGTAAATTATAGAATTATTGTTTTCTTTTGCTTCCTACTACAGTAAGGTCTATTTTTAGCTTATTGTAAAGGTCGGTAAATAAAAGTGCTCATAAAGTTTTTAATAAGTATTTTCCTAACGACCACTTTATTTTCTACGATTACCTACTATACCTACCTACATATTTACATGTATAGGCACGTACATCGGTACTTATACATATTTATAAATATGCACGCACTTATACAAAAGTATACATTCGAAATATAATAAATCGCAATAAAGTCTTATTAAAGTCTTGCTATGTAGACAAACATTGATCCTGACTCTGTGTTCAAGGTAAACCACACGGTATCTTAGACTGGTTTTTGAGCCAATTTTACAATTAATCAGATTCTAAATATTCTAATATCGACAGAGTAAACTTTCTCGTTTGTTATAAAAAGGTAGAACTACCTACATAGGTATATTCAGGTATTGTTATATCAAGACCTGACAAAAATTATAAAATATTTTTAACGATGCAAACGCTAACTGTGCGAATTACCTACTATGTTTAATGTTTTCAGTTGCTGAGGACAATTTGTATCGTTAGCCCTGAAAGTCTTACTAGGTACCTAAATTTAAATGTGCAGAATAATCTGAACAATCTTATACTTACTTAATTCTAAAGAGTTTGTTTCATTTTGTTTTATATTTTTAAACGAGCATGTTTCCGGATCATGTTTAAATATTAATAATTATTTTTGCGTTGAAAGTTTTAAATTATTCTGAATGGATTTCAAAATTATGTGACGAAACTCGTTCTAAATTTTAATGTAAATGATTTTAAATAAAGAACTAGGTACCAAAGAAATTATACATAGGTATATGAGGATTGAGGAATGATATGACAGAAAGTAAGATTTGCGAAAAGTTGTTTTTCATTGAATAAGTTGACGTCTAATTAGTATGATCGTCAACTTACTGAATGAATAACCCTCCTTTTGGCAGTCGGGCACAAAGAAAGATGGTTCCATCCCCGAGTAAGTAAAAGAGAAAGAATAAGAAGAAATAAGTAATAGTAAGATTATTAAAGGTACTTACATATAAACCGCGTAAGGTTTATTTTTTTTTGTACAAACGCTGAAAAATTAATTTTAAAATGTTCTCTAGGTTTGCATTTATCATAAAACTAAATACTTGTACTAATTGTAAGAAAAAGAAATATCATCATCATTAACATTGGCCTGTGTTCGTTCTCTACTGGGCAAAGGCCTCTCAATAGCACGTTACGAATATTGTGCGGATATTTACAATGTCTAGATAGACACTACAGGTATGTAGGTACCAGAGGATAGGATTTTAAATTTGTATGGACTATGTGTCAAATAGGTTTATCGAGAACTTATATGAAGGTGGAAAAATAGGTCCAAAGTACTAGGTATGTAGTAAGGAAAGGGGTACTAGACGTTTTAGTACCTACCTACTATCTATCCATCCTATCTATCCTAAGTAACTAAAATGTAGTATTTTGTGGTCATATATTAAAAGAAAATATCGTATTTGTGAGTAAATAATTAAAGTAGGTTTATATTAAGTCAGGCAGGTACTCACAGACACATGCCTTTCGGATTGGCTCTATTGTTCACACTTAAGCTTCCAGTTCAAGCATGTCTTTTACTATATACCTAAGTATCGATTTTTGTTACGAAATCAATGGGATACATGCAGTGCAGTAGATGGCGCGTTTTAGTTTTTGTCTACCCTCATGGAACAAATGGTTTTGCTATGTATAACTATATCTGGTCCGGAATAGCATACCGTCTGTAGCATATATGTATGCTACAGTATGCTATTCCGGACCAGATCAAAATAATGTTAGATGCCGCAAAGCCACCGAAATATTCTCAAGGATGGCTACCATGGCCCTGATGAAAGTACATGTTAACATGTCACTTACTCGTACACCGTTCCAGATCCAAAACTTTTTAACCTTTAATGAGTAGGAGTTTAACGAGCAGACAGATCAAGTGATTGTAAACGACCAACGCCGCCCAAAGAAACCATCATACCAGAGGAGCCACAAATGTGTTGCCGGTCTTTTAGGAGAGAATAATAATATGCTCTTTTCTTGATAGTTAGTAGGTAGAACTGTCGGTTCGACTTAGTGTAAACCATGCTTAAATAGTTAGCGAACATTATCATTCAGTATAATTCACTACCTACATGTATTAATTTATTCCGTCATCCTATGTGTACCTAATGCGGACGAAGTCGGGGTTGATACTTTCTCCGTTTAGCTATACTACTAATGTAGAGATAGTTATGCTTGGTTACTTAAGCGGAACTATCAAGTCGTTCAAGATAGTAATATCTACCTAATTTTACCTGTCTGCGCTTGTTAGTATAGCGGTCGCTACTGAAATTATTGAAAAATTAAACAACAACTACTAAGTTAAAAAAGTTGTTAGAAAGAAGCCGGTTCAAAACATGAAATAATAAGGAAACAGCAGTTTACTTACTCTTTCTTGTATGTGTATAAAAATGCCGATGCAACCAGTTTAAGTAGTTCTGATAGGAAAACCACGAGTGTCGTATTGTAATCATAGTCGCCATTTTCTGTTTTTGATGCGGTTACAAACACACCTGAAAATAAACGAGAACGTTCATTGTTTGTTTTCTCGATAATGTCTATGCACGTGTCATATTAAAATATTGTGTTCAGTAGTTTAGGCGTGAAGAAAAGACAGACAGACAGAAATACAGACAGAGTTACTTTCACATTTATTATATTAGTTTGGAAATTTGGATTTCCAGCGTGAGCCTTTCACGTAAAAAATAACTCAGACAAATAGTGAGTACAGATATAATAAATAAAAATTAAGTAGATAAGGAAACATCAAATAATTTTGTGAATCATCGTATTTTGTATTAATTAAATCTAAATTATGTGATATCAGGAGTTTTATCAGAAAATAAATAAGCTACATAATTACCTAATAAAAAGGATTAAGTTTTACAGTCACTTATAGCTATATAAACAATAACGTAAATATCTAATTTCTTATTTCGGTAGACTGTAATAATTGGCAATAGTCAAATCTTATTTCTTTTTTGAGAGGCGAAATTATCAAATTATATCTTTATTCCGATCAGAGTCCGAATCTGTGGTGGTATAATAGCTCTTTGAGGCGCGCCTGGAAAGCGTCGCTTAGGTCTTGTCCCGGGTCAAGCCTCGAACTACCCTTGCTCGCCGCCTATAGACCCGCATATTCGTTGGCGTTATATCCTGGGTTAACTTTCAAGCTATGTACTATATTTTTTAATATAATACGTAGCTTGAAAGTTAACCCAGTTAATATAAATTATTTAGTGTATCGATGTCACATGAAATTAATAATAATATCTTGAAAAAGAAATGCCAAAACTAGTATTGTAAGCTAATATTAAACCTGTACTGAAAAACAAGAATAAAAACATCAGATACATTCATTGTTGTAGTATGAAATTCAAAACAGTAATCATACTGATTGTTGTTACAAGTCATTGCTTTGGTTCCTATGAAATAGCAGCTATTGTTTTCAAAAATGTTCCTGACTTGCCTTGAAAAATAAATAATGTTTTACAACTTTTTAAATTATGCAGACAACAATAGAACACTGAATGCTTTTGTGAATTTAAAAATCACTAGATTTGTATTATTAGCGTAAGTAGATAAAGGCTATTCTTGTTTGCACATGTATGAACTGTCAATTCAATAATTACAGGCGTAAATGAGTTTCGCCTTCAACAGAATGTTGGTTTTTTTCTGAGTATTAAATGTTACATTTTGTATGGATTCTATATGATTGTGACATCTGTTTAACAAAAATTCAATATGTTTGAGTTTCTATCATTCCAATCCCACTAATAATATCATTAGGTATACTTAATAGAAAGTTTGTGCTTTGCTCTTTATGTTTGTTTGTTGCTCTTTCACCCAATAATTGCTTAAATCAGTTTAGCAATTATTGGGTTTGAAACTGGAAAAATCTAGTTTAGTATAGCTACTATTAAGAAACATGCTATACAGTTAACTCCACAGTAACAGTTTCATAACAAAAAAACCTCTGTTTAATTGGTTATTGAGTTTTTATGCATTTTAAATTAGCTATGTAACTGAACAAATCTTGTTACTCTTATCAAGCGTAGTGCAATTTAGAATGGTACACTAGGGATAATAATATGGTAAATCTGTAAATAAGGCCTCTATTGAGTTAGTCACTTCATGAATAAATATTTGTAATTTTTGCCATAATAAAACTGAGTTAACAGTGCAACAGTGCACTTACTTGGATACAATTTTTATATATGAAGTAACATCTTATCTTAAATGAAGACTCATAAAATTTTGGTTTTAGATAAAATAAAAATGTCTCTGGTAAAATTTTATCTTTTAATTTCGAATACTTACTCAATTCACTTTTTGTCTTATACAAAAGCATCTAAAATTATATAAATTTGGAAGAAACTGATCAATTATCTGTATGAAACTATATTTTTTTAAAGGATCTGTTTTAAAATTATCCAGATAATATTGAATAATAAAGTTGGTATTGTAATAATGTTTGATAAAATAATTAGTGTGTAAATTTAAAAGTCTGATGAGTAAATTGGATGAAACTTTAAAGTTTATGAAAAACTCTTTGTACAGATGTAGATGTTGTGGTGTTGTATAAATAGATATATATTTAAATCATGTAATGCATGGTATTTAACTAAAATAAGCTCTAAACATTCACCAAATTTTCTAAGTGCCCTTAAAATTAAACCAAAACCAGTGAATTGAAAAATTCTATAAGTAGTCATAATTTTCCTGTAACTTTTATCTCAGCAGAGTGTCTGCCTACTGATAACCGTTTACCTAATTAGTTATCAACAGCACATCCTTCCCCATCTCAATATTTGTTAGAGTTATTATTTTAATAGATTGTAATTATAAAATTAATACTTTCAAAATATCAAACTTACCTTGGAATACGAAGAGAATGACGTACAGGGCAAAAGTAATAAAAGCCTCTTTATTAGGAAATAAATTAGAATATTGTTTCATTTTTCTATAATTTCAAAAACTTGGTTTAGTGGCGAGTAATGAATGGAGTGGCTTTATTACCAGTCAGTCGGTTACGAGTTATAAGGCTTTAACGTCTAATATGCATATTGATAAATTGTATTATCCGCCCATTGAAATAGAAGCCTAAAACTAGGAATACCAAACAAAAACCAGTTTCTCCAGCACTAGATTAAATAAAACTATCAGACTAGACTTCATTATTGTCAATGTCATCTGTCATTTTTCACGACCAAACTCAACTCCATTCCATAGCCAGTAGAGTATGGAGTATCATTGACATAGGAAATATATGGACTTGAAATACCTACGAAAAGAAGGTGCCTACCTACAATCCAAAATGTCGCATAAGATGGCTGCCGTTGCTAGGGTTGTGCCGACTAAGTATTTAACGAGTATCGATACAATTTGAGTAAAAGTTCTACGTAGGTATAGTTTTAGGGATTAGCCAGCTGATTAACGGTATTTTTTTATGGGAAATCATCTAATGTCATCTCCGGCCCTTTTCGGGACAGACCGTTACTGACTAAAATCAACTCCTGTTCCTACTTTGCCGTCGGCCTAGCTAGAACCCGGAACCCGGGGTTAACTTAGTCTCTTGATTGGCTAATGATTTTCTCAAGTCGAATTTGTATTCATATAATTCTACGTAAAGCGTCTTTTAAAAAAATAGGACTGTGTTTATGAACAGCGTTTAATGGAATGGTGAAATAGAAAAAGATAGTGTTTGTTAAATGTTTATCTTTATATATGTGGAAAACCTGTGGGTATTTGTGAAGTGCTCGCGCACAATTTCGGCGCGTCTGATTAAGCGATGATATCTTCGAAACTACGTTAGCACAAAATAGATATGTAGTGAAGTCAATCTTATTGTATGTATCTCACTTTTTATTATTACGCTTGGTGGTCGCACTGGGATCGTCGCCAACGCCGCTCTGTCAATCGCGCCCGTATAATTATAAAACATGATAATTTGAACTTCTACTTATGTAACTAAAACCAATACCAAAATACAGACGTCTTACTTTAGCGTTACACAAAACTGCGGAAACATCCATTGTTAAAATAGATTATTTAGTATAATATATGTTGAATTTTAAATGGGAGATTATATCGATACTTTTGTGAAATGGTACGTAACTATGCCATATTGACATATTATTGTAAACAACAATTTTTTACTAAAACTGTCTCACAGACAGAAATAAAAGTAAATATATATACTTTGGCAATAGATTAAAGTATCCGTGACATTTTTTTCTATCTATGTGGATTATTCTAAGTAATATTTGATGAAAACTGTTTACTAACCTATACAAAGACAATTGAGGTTGATTTTCGTTATTTTTTGCACCACACTGCACAATACAACACACAGGCATATTGTTTTTTTGTTTCACTATATATATTTGAAGTTTAAAAAAATGGTTCTTTGTAATTTACTGAAAAACCGCAATAATTTAAAACATAAACAACCTTTTGACAGGACAACTACCATGAAACTCAGGTACTCTGAGCGCTTAAGATGGCGGACATGGCACTTACCTACAACTTTGCTAATGTCAAAATGATTTGTTTCCATATTAAGCAACAACTTAAATATTGTTGTCTCTTTTGTCTAATACAATTATTGCCTTAGAAAGAGTGAGAAAAAATGATATTTCATAGTTTGTTTCATATTTCCCTCATATTTGTATAAGCATGTATACTTCTATAGTAACACGGCGCCTCTATATATTTTCTATCTCAATGATGGAGTATGGACTGAATAATAAGTAGATGTTTCAATTGAGAATTCTATTTCCTAATCAAACTAGTAGACCTGTAGGTTTTCAAGTATTTTGCAAGCATACCGAAAGTTTAATACCTAGTGAATTATATTACTGATGACCAAAAAATTTTATATTTAGTTGTACTCAAAATACCTGTGTTTAAGTTTTAAAGTAAATATACTATAGACACACTTGACTATAGAGTAGAAGTGCGACATGTGTTTGCATAAGTGTATATGTGTGAGTGACTAATGTTGGCATTGGCAAATTAAATGCTACTCCTCTGCAATAAAGTTCAAATTAGAAAATACTTCAGTTTGTTTGTGGTTGGCTTAATAAGACGGTGACCGAATGTAATGTATGGATCAGCAATTCAACAACAGTAGCAACAGTAATACAACCATACCCCTATATTATATTGTAGTCTTTGAATACATCAGCAACTAAATGCAAAGAAAAGGACTGTCACAGTCTTACGTCAAATGTAATTTAGAGAGTGACAGTAGGTCTCTGAAACTACGATATTTCAATTTGATTTCAATTGATCACAATTGTTTCAAAACATTATTTTAGTTTAAAGTTTAGTGTAAAGAAGTGGTAATAGAGTTGTTCGTGTAACATTATTACTATTTTTGTATGTCTCTACTGTGAAAATATTCTGTGACTACAAATCAAAGAGTGTTATCAGAAGTTTTCTGTAGTAAAAATTAAATGCAATGGCTAGTGACGAAGACGACAGTACATGGTGAATATTTATTACTTAAAGCTATAACTACTACATAAACGGTTATCTTTCTGCATTCAGTTGATTAGTCATCCATAATATTTTGTGTTTCATATTAATTTAGTGATTAGAAAAGTAATGTAAAAATGTTAGTATGTAGTTCCATTCTATGCCCTATATATTTATTCATCATTGCTAGTTATTCAAAACAATAGACTCAATAGAATACTTACATATGTTTTGTGCATAATGCCATTTCTTTTATCTTATTATACATACAAACATATTGTGGTACATATACTTTATTATTTATATTTCAGGTTAATTGAGTTGGAATCTGCGCTACTGGATGGTTGTTCAGCTCAAGAAATAAATTTGCTCACTAAAGGCAAGAAGATACCAGAAAGTTTACGTCCTGATGTGTGGCTCCTTTGTCTTAACTGCCAAGAGGCAGGCAATCAGCTACTTTCCTTTGATGAAATATTTGATCTTACTAATCAAAATGAACTCAGGGATGATGTAAAGAAGTTTGTGAAAAGACTAGGCAATGATGACGATGATAAACTATCAGTAATATCTGATATTGAATCAATAATAACTTTCTATTGTAAGTCTAAATCCATAAACTACAGTACTAACAATGGCTGGATTGAAATCTTGTTACCATTACTGAGCTTGAAATTGCCCAGATCTGATACATACAATTTATTTGAAAAAGTCTTAAAACTATACATTCCTCAAGGCTGTGTGAAGAATGGAGTACCATTTCATATATTACGGCTAATCTTACAGTACCATGATCCAGAACTTTGTTCATTTTTAGACACTAAACGAATAACTCCAGAACAATATTGTATGTCATGGCTAAGATCACTTTTCTCAGGTACATGCAGTTTGGAGGTAGTGCTTTTCATGTGGGATTTGTACTTTCAAAGGTCTGATCCTTTCTTCATATTTTTCCTATGCTTAATCATGGTTATTAACGCCAGAGAACAACTTTTACAAATGAAAAATGAAGATAAGGATGCTATAATTCAAACCTTAATTCAGATGCCTTCAGATCTAGAAGCTAATGATGTTTCTGATTTTTGTTCACTTGCACATTATTACTCATTAAAGACACCCCAGTCGTTCCGGGAGGATGTATTAGAAGTATTGTTCTCAGATAGTGGAGTAGAAATAAACTCCAAGCTTTATTCCCAAGCACTATGTCTTCCTGTAGCTGTACATGAGCTGATTGAAAGTGCAACATTAGATTCTGGAAACAGTGACAGTGTTAAATTCTTTTTGGTAGATTGTCGCCCAGCTGAGCAATATAATTCTGGTCATCTGTCAACAGCATTTCATCTTGATTGTAATTTGATGTTACAAGAACCTTCAGCATTCAATACAGCAGTCCAGGGATTATTGAATGCACAACGACAAGCACTAGCTGCAGGGTCTCTGGCTGCTGGAGAACATCTTTGTTTTGTTGGTTCAGGTAGGACTGAAGAAGATAGTTATGCACATATGGTGGTAGCATCCTTCCTTAAAAGAAATACTAAACATGTGTCTATGTTAGATGGAGGTTTTGTTGCTATCCATGACTACTTTGGCCCACATATGACTGACTGTTTGGAAGAACACAACCCATCTACTTGTTTAGTATGTGCACCTAACAATAATAATGAGGGTGCAGAAACACATCAAACTAAAGGAAAGGATAATATTCCAGCTAAACAGTTGTTTAGCAAACTGTCTTCAGCCATGAAAGCCAAGAGCCAAGAGGTCAGGGGTAAATTGATTGAGTATATTGTAAATCCAAACTCAACATACAATAATGGAGAGTGGCATGTTTCTGCTGGAGACAGGAAAGAGCAAAGATACAGAAATGTGCCTCCAGTGTTTAGCATAAATGACGAAGACGACGATTCTAGGTCAGACAGTCTCAGGAGAGATTATACAGATTCGGATTCATTAGAAGAAATAGTCGAGTTGCAATCCTTCCTCAAGGAACACAATGTGGTAGATAGTTTCCCATGTCAAGAGGTATTGCTTAATGGATATATGCATGACTCTTATTTGGTGGTATCTGAAACACATTTGATTGTTTTGCGAGACATACCAAACAAAAAAGGAGCTGCAAAAGTTATGTCTCGAAGGCCACTGTCGACTATTGTTAAAATAACTGCAAAAAAGAGACACCCAGAGTTAATTACCTTCAAGTATGGAGTGCCAGATGGTGACAATCTTTTAATCAAAGATATGGATCGCTTCCTCATTCCAAATGCTTCTGTAGCTACAAAAGTGGTTTCAAACCAGATTGTTCAACAATTAGATACCAAAGTATGAGACATAAAATTCAGAAAAGAAAAGATGTAAGAAAAAAATACCTGAAAATGGAATCTTATTATATAGTATACTTTCAGGTACTAATTCGTCATTTTGAAGGTATTGGCGATATTAAATTGAGAATGCTGTTATTTGAAGTTGTCGATAACCCAGTCTGATGCCACACAAATAACTAAAATGGATTACAGTTCTAATGATATGTTAGCACACGTTAAGTGGAAAATGAATCATTTATCAATGGTCGTTAGGCATCATCCTATCTTATTTTGAGAGGGTGTAATCATCTTTAAATAATTTGCACTCTGATACCTTTTTTTTTCACCTGGGAACGGCCACTGTCAGATTGCTATTAATTAACCTCGGTGTCTTGTCTCACAAGTGGCGCAGGAAACATTATTTCTTAGCCCCGTATTCGAAAAATTGACACTGTTTCGGTTTCGTTTCGTTGATTTTGTGTAGGGCTTGAGAATGAGATAGACATAGCATTATAAATACATATTAGGTATAATACGTATTTATCATTTTTGTCTCTTTTTCTACTAAAGTGAGACAAATCGAGACAGGTCGTATGTGAAAACTTAAGTTTACCTAGTCAGTACTTGTGCTGAGCATTATTTTTCAATAATACCATATTAAGTATGGCTTTACCTTACTTTTCCCATTATTACCTATTCCAATTTTTTTTCAATAATGTTACCACTATTTTTTGTGGATTTGATTGTTTTTAATTGTCATGCTTAGTCATTTTATCTAGGTTAATTAAAATGTGATAATTGTTATTATAAACTTAAAACAAACAAGCACAGTAGTTGATAAAATATTTGATTTGAAAAATATGCATTGTTGAGATGTAACATATGCACAATGCATTACGTGTTAGTTATGTAGAATTCTAGATCATGATAATACATTATTTCATTTGTGGTTAAAGCACGCAGGTTTTATTCCGTATCTAATTAACCGGAGCCACCTACATTATTCTCAGTGGTCCTGTGATGTACTTATCAAAACTTAATACTGCTTCGTTTAGTTTAGTTGGTAATATAACATTACCTCCAAAATGGTATTTGATTAATATTTTTAATGCAAATGATTCTGCTTTGTTACTCAATATAGTATCGGAGTAGAATGTATGAAATCACTTTCAATATAATAATAATCTACTAAATATTATAGGTAGCAACAACATAGGCATGCGTAGGTTCATCCTAATAACTACTAATAAGTAGTTATGTTAAATATAAACATTAATTCATAGGGTAATATTCTTTATAATGCACATAATAGGGTTTTACATGTTAAAGTATTTCACGCCGTGTTAACATCTCATGACCTTGCACTTAGTAGGTTATCGAGATTTTTGACAAGATACTAGAGTAGATTTGTAATTACTATCTATCTATCTTGTATTCCTAATAACGGCCGATAATAAATAATCATGTCTTCATGTGTTATAGATGTTCTATTTTCAGTGTTTAAAATATTCCTAAATTATTTGTATATTTAGTTGTTATTTAAATAAAGAGATATATTGCAAATACCTTTCTGTCTTTAATTTGTCAATGCCAATGCCATAATGGGCCAATGAAGAAAAGCCATGCTTCGGCAGGAATAGGCTGGCTCGACTTGAGGTCTGGACTGGAGTAATACCACGGCCGTGTCATAGCGTACGTTGAACAACGCTTGTGCGTGACAACAAACTTATAGTAATGTTTCGGTGTCCATGAGGCACGGATTAAAGGGACGGAGGGACGGTCTTGCACAACCTAGTGAACTGGTAGATATTTACTGAAAATTATATAGAAGTAATCATAACAGTAGATGACCTGCATAGGAATATCTCTGAGACAACTGCATTGCTTTGGTGTTGTTTTCTTGCGGTTTCCGTTTCGGTTTCATGCATTGAATATAAGATTTCCTATGTTCCTACCTACTTTTTTAATAGATACGTAGAGATTGTTCAAGAGTATGGTTACAGAAATTAGCCATTCTTGGTTCTGTCTTGGTAAAAGAAGATAATCAGAATTCTGTAAAAAACCTGAATGGGTATGTTTTATACTACCCAGGCCTTTGCTTGAAGACGACACGACGGCACATTAGCAAGACAGATTGAATTTTGTTTTAGAAAAAAACGTTGCTCCACACTCGACTTTTATCAAAAAAAGTGAGAAGTACACGTTCACATACAGGCAGTCAAAGGCTTATGTAGGTACCATACGTCTAAGTCTAATGTATGAAGTTTTATGAACTAGCCTTATTCAGCCAGTTCATGAAACTTCCACCTTGTTCCCCTAACTCTTTACAAGTGTAGGTAGCTAAAAATTCACTCCTCTAAGGGGTTCTGTTTCCACTCCTTGTCTTTTGAGGTACTTACCTAAAATGATTTACAGAGGAACTTAAAAAACAACCAAGAGCCATCCATGTTAGGTACCTAGATATTTTATATTATTTGCTGTATTTTCGTTAGGTAGTTATTAAGTTGGGGATATCATCGAACACGTGTGGTGTATAATTAAACACTAATTGTTCGTTCGCATTCCAACAGGGGTCCTAGGTAGTAGTTTTCGTTAAAATTCAAAATGCATTAAAGTATATTTTAACTGTTTTAATTTAGATAAAGTCACTCATCAGACACCATAGTTGGTTTCTACAATAACATAATATGTTATGTAATTGTTAACAGTATATACAGGGTTTTTAAAAGGTAGTAGGTAGGTACTTATAAGTATAAATGAGTAAGAAGGTGGGTATATTATGTAGATATGTCTATATTTTAAAAAGAAGACATTCTTGTAAATACGCATTTCATAATTTTATTCCTCGTAGATAGTTATTCTACTTGTTCATAACAGGAAATACAGGTATATAATTGATATGTATCGTTTCATTTGGTACTTGGTACATCCTAAATTATTTAGTACCTAGTTAGGTATTTTGTTAGTGATGGTCACAGAATAATAGGTTAATGGTTTCGGTAAAGTCAAAACTATAAATACTTATTAACTGACACACTTACAATGATACCTGATAGGACACAGATAGCCGCTATCAAGTGCAGAAAACAAACATTTTTGTATCTGATAGTACCGTTTACTTAGTTTCGGTAAATTCTTTTCTATGTGCTGTTATTTTTATCTATGTAGGTAATTTAAGTCTACTTGGTTGGGTAAATTTTAAGTCGGAAGAAAATATGTAGCTCCTTAAATTACCTATTTTAATTTATTGTACCTAATATTTTTGACATTTGTATGCCTATCTAAGTAGGTTTTACAAGAAGTTAAGTAAGTAGGTAGATGTATTATACTAGGTAGGTATATCGAAAATGTAAAAAATATTTACAGTAGATGAAGTACATAGAGTTAATGGCTAATTATATTTACATTATTGACTAAATAATAAACTTATCAGTACCTAATTAAATTCCCAATTACCTAATACAAAACCTATATTATATAAATAGGTACCAACCTTATACAGTTTCTACGTAACCATGGGCACGGTAATGTAGAATTCGAAATCAAAATAAATAAGTAAATAGGTATCTACAACCAATCGTCATACCATTCATAATCTTATTTAAAACATTGCCCTTCATTCTGTAACATAATTTTAAGTTGTTTAACTTCAGTCTTCGTAGTAAGGCTAGACTAATACTATAAGCTTATAAGCTTATAGCTCGTCGGGCTGTTTGGTTGTAGGTAATATTAGATAATAAGAATAAATCACAATCCATTAGGTATTTTGCAAAATTCCTATTAAGTATTAAAGCAAAATTAGAGGTAAGTAAGTATGACTAATGCACAAAGGAATAAGTAGATTTTTGAGATTATTGATTATTGGATGATTTTTGAGTGATTTTCTTTTGTAGTGGTACAGCTTTCAGGCATTGATTCAGATTCAATTCAGATTTTTCAGAACCTTTTACATATCAGATATTTTACCGATCCTTGCTTACAATTAGAGTTCGTATGCATTTATAGGTATCTACCTAAGTCTGAAGCGTGCGTTAGTTGGTCAAGGTGCACCTACCTACGCGTTGTTCAATCAACCAATTAGCATTCGGAGGTGAAGGTTAATCAAGATACTCGTATTATTAATATCGATCTATTAAATGGTATGATATAGGTAGTTAATAAGTACAATGTATTTTGAAAGAAAATAAAGATTGACTCATTTTTTTGAGAGGCGAAAATAATCAAATGCCTACTCTAGCCCAGGATGAGGCGAGAGAGGGTTACAAATGGTTACAAACTATGACAGATATTGCACTTGCCCCGCAACCTCGCCTGAACAACCACCACTAAATCTGTTGGTCTCCGTCTGTCTTGGTCTATTAGCTCAATGAGACGCGGGCGCAACGCGACGCGCTGTACGCTTGGGTAGGCTTGGGTTTGGTTCTGGTCGAGCGGCGAGCTAGAACTACCCTTGTTCGCCGTCCGCAGACCCGCGCTTACGGTGTGGCCGGAGATCGTTGTTCGCTCCCTGACGCCCGGAGTGTCGCCTACTACGGCGGCTGGGGCGTGAGGAGGATATCTTCCTCATGTTTTTAATCGTCTAGCTTTTCCTATGTGGTAGGAGAATGTGTGGTTTGCAGGTATATAATGATAGGTTGGTAGGTATATAGGAATTTAAGTAGGTACTTGAGATTCTAGCTCTTAGCATATCTACATTATATGTTCTGTCTGTAATAGGCAACTAAGTTCGTAATATCGAATACAACTTTGTGGGAAACAATTAAATATTCTCAAGCGTCAACTGATCACGGTTTCGTGAATCCAGTTATCTTTAATGAGGTATTATTTTGTTTAGTTTCTCTAATTTTAATCTTTTTCAAGTAAAGAGCCTAATAGGGTATGTTTGTTTGTCTTGATAATGCTTTAGCTTATTGTATTTATAATAATATTTTTATGAATTTTTTAAGTGTAAGTATTAACAAATATTTATTTAAGTATGCAAATCAATTAAACTGTTCGAGAAGACACGTGATGTGATTTGGCCCAAAATTATAATAAGTAATTATGATGCCCGTCGTGGCACGAAACTAGTCGATCGACGAGTAAACAATAGTGTCTAATTAATTTACATAAAATAATTCACGAGAGTTACTTACAAAAACAAAAAAAATATCTATCTATTGATATGTATTGGTGGGTATTAAATTTAGTATTTACACGTTTATTATTTATTATTATTTCTAATTAAATATTTATCTATCTATTTATTTATTTACATTTACCTACATAATATTTTAAAGTTCATACGTATAAAGCTTTCTTAATACTAGATACAAAGTGACTTTAATTTGGAAGAATTAAAATGTTTCATAAAGGACGCGTTATCTAAGAAACTATCAGTGCAGTATATACATAATGTACAAATCTCTGCATTCATTAAATTTATAACAAACAGTCTTAATGATAACCTAAGAAAAATGTTATGGTTTTGAGTTATAGGGTCAATAAACAGGTACCTAGACATAAAATATGTAGTACAAACATGAATTTTAAAAATATTGCTGCTTGTCTTTTGTCGCTGTTCGTTCAGATCTAATTCACATTTTATTATTATTAAAAAGAGATTAAATGCAAAACAAAACGTACATAATTATCTTATGATACACATAACAAATGATGAAATAAGAAATCTTGATAAACTATTATCAATAACAACAACTTTGTTAGCTAACTATATACCAGGTTAGGTATATATGTATTATTACTCTAACAATAATCTCCACATTTACAAAGAGGAATGGAACTTCCATTTCTCTATGGAATTGGAATATGGAATTCCATTATGGAAGTTGTAGGTAGGTATTGTGTCGTGTATATAGTGGCCGTGGTGGCCCGGAGGTTAAAGCGCCCGCTTCTCATGCATGAGGGTGCGGGTTCGAAACCTGGCAAGTACCAATGCGACTTTTTCCGAGTTATATGTACTTTCTATGATTATTCAGACACCACTGACATACGGTGAAGGTAAACATCGTGAGGAAACCTGGACTTATAATTTCTAATTATAAGTTTGAAATCGCCAATCCGCATTGAGCAAGCGTGGTGATTAATGCTCAAACCTTCTCCGTGTGAGAAGAGGCCTTTGCTCAGCAGTGGACACTTATAGGCTGACGGTGGTGACGGTGAGGTAGGTATTTAGTCAAAAATGTATATTCTTATATTTGTAATAAAAAAATGTTGCCCATTAAAACAAAAGAGGTTTGATAATTTTATCGGGAACGGTTGTACACTCGTAGTATCTACTAAATCATTTAACACCACCCATAGTTGTTCTTTACCATTCATCCCTAGTAATTATGTTGTACCTAGGTACTTGTATTTCACTCAGCAGACACCATTCACATATAAAACACTGTACAATAATATAAATTGATCCCATTTCATTGCATTGGCATTAGGCTCGACTCTCGTTATAAGTTAGTTAAGTTGGGATTCGATGGCAATTATTGTCGATACCGTTGTCAACTTGCATTAAATGTATGGAGGAACACTAAGAAAGGATTAGATATTGATTAACAAAAATATCTAAGACTTATGAAGTTAAATAATACAAGAAAATAGTATCTAACATAACTAAAGCCATTAGAAGTGCTGGTAATAGCATGCTGAAAAATATTCTATTGTAGGTACCTGCGATAGAATCAATCAGGATTTCAATAATTGTTTCATCTTATACATTTTATAGGTAGATACTTATAACTATTAACTTTTACGCTGCATGTGTTATCTTAAAAACTTCGTAGTCAAAAATCATAAAAAAACTACTGAACCGATTTGAATAAAACGTATAAAACATTATTAAAGTGTAAAAAATATGAAGTAGGTATCTACATTTTCAAAACATTCTTTAATGAAGTCGTTAAAAGCGATTTAATGCTATGCAAGCTTCAAATTTGTCTTCTTCTGGACTCTCACAGCTCATCAAAACCGGTTGAGTAGTTTCCATGAAGGTTTTGTGAAACTCGTGCGGCGTAAACGTCTTAAGGACCTAAATCAAAATGTCTGAATAACTGCATCGTACCAGATATAATATATAAATTGTATGAGCTATCTACCACATAAGTTTATCAGGAACTTATACGAGGGTGAAACAGTAAGTAAGATAAGTATTGTATGTAGTATTTATTGTTCTAAACTATTGAGTAGGTACATACTCAATAGTTTAGAACAATAAAAACAGTCCTTTACTGAAACGAAGGTAACTTTAGGTATTTACATTCATCACTTTTCTTTAGGAATATTATAAATATTAATAGCTCATATACAACAAGCACTTTGTAAGTACTCAAGCACTTATTATGTAACAATGTTTCGACTGAGATTCAAAGAGATTCCTAGAACATTTTGTCTGTTTTGCTTTTATCCAATTGACAGTATCAGATGTGCGTATAAGCGGACATTGTAGGTAAGAAAATAAAGAATAATTCAGCACAGGAAATTAGCTATTCATAATTATAACAAGTAGTTTGCTTTAAATTGGATTTGTAGATACCTATAATTATTTTTTTATGCCCAACTCAGCCCAACTTTGTGTTTAATTGCGTGTCTCCATTTTCCCGTACCCAACAAGGGGTGCGTTTATCTATGTATCTATTAGATTGTCTATGGGCGACGCCGATTATATTACTTGTACCGGCTTCATCTAGTTTTTTTTATGTTGACATGTAAAAGTATGGTCTCGTAGACTATTTGAAAAAATAAATTAAATGTTTCATTGTTATCATTAAGCAATTCGTATAGAGGTTAGCTGATTTATGTGACAAAAAAAAAAACAAATGGTAGATAACTGTCTCTGTACTTTAGCCTGAATCAATCTTTACTTTCTTAACTACTTACATATCTACTTACCGAACAACTTAAGTAAATAAATACCCATCAATATTATCTGCTTAAACCTTCTTTGCTTTTAATAATTGTAAAAGTACCTACATAATACTAAGTGATTAATAATAAATTACATAATGTGATAAAGTTACTTAGATTAAAGGTTCTCTCAAGGAGATGATATGTTATTTTGGCGACTTTGAAAATGTCTAGGCACAACATTGGTGAATTTAATTTTTTATGACCTTCTGTGGTAATGTTGACTGTGGTAATGGATCATAATGCCAATATTTTAGCATATATTTGTTATAAATCTAGCTAAAAGTCTGTTTACATGAAATACTTACAAGTAGGTATATGATGACAGATCTTACAAAACTGTTTTTAATTTTTCTGCTACAGTTATCCATGATTCATTTTATCCTTGTATTATGTACCTACATAGGTAATTACTTATTTACATATTGCTAGTAAATAAGGAGGTTAACGGTGATCAACAATGAACAGGTGATCTAAGCCAATATTTAGAGACAAATTTAAAAGAATTGGATTTAACGCTGAGCTATTTATCCATTTTAGAGGTTCATGGAAAGTTTATATCAAAAAGTTAAGAAGGTTTTTGCCTACAATAGCAACATTTAAAAAAAGAACCATTCTGTCAAGATTTTTTTATATTGGATAGGATTGTTATGTCCCAAGTAGTGGCCTGTTGGCAAGGAATTGTTATCGTAGCAGTACGAACATCACTTAATATAAAAGTACGTCGGTAGAAACTCACTAGGTCAATGGCTTCTATTATCTAATTAGTTTAGGTAATTGGTTTGTGCCTTTACTACACAAATAGCATATTCACATTTCCACTCACGCGCGTTATAATATTTATTATGTAATTATGAACATAAGTATTACATATTTTATCACAGCCCATTATTTAAATTTAACGACTTGCCCTATCAAGCAACCGTGAGCAAGTATATAATTATAATACACATTAGAGATGAAAATAGATTTCGACGCTTTTTTGATGATCCTGATGTACTGGAGTCGGCCGTTGTTAAGTTGGCTGACGGCTGAGACAGGGTTGAAGGCTTGATGACGTCAACTGAAAACAGATAAAACAATTCCTTTTAGATGATTCAGCTATTTATATATATTTTTTGATTGTGATAGGACGGCAAACGAGTATTAGGATTACCTGATGGTAAGCAATCGGCGCCGCTCATGCAGCAACGCCAAAGTGCTTTGGCGGTCTTTAAGGGATAAGGGTTTCATATTTTTAAGGATTGGGAAGGGATGGGGGAGCCCGGCGAAACATAACGGTATGGTTATTTACGCCGGTTATCTCTGAGGCCGTGGGATACCACGAGATAGAGTGTTAACTCTAGTTGAGCCGACTAATTCATGCCGAAACATGGCTCGCGCACACTTTATAAATTTCTAATTTTTGTAGAATGCATAGAATTCTGTGTCTGTATGGATTGGACTAAAGTTAGTAAACAGGTTACGTAGGTTTTTTAAGTGTTACTATTAATGACGGCACATTTCAAGGTGATGCAAAAACTATGCTGGCTAATACCTATCGTCTTCTTCATAAAAAGCAAACTATTCTAGTCGTTCCGTTACGGTTATATAGATCATGGTCAGATTTGTTGATAATGGTCTGAACAATGTACTAACGGTATCAATAACAATCAATTTTATGGTCTAGTAGTAAAGGTATTAAAATGAGGATTGGCTGATAACCGTCGATGCAAAAATTTTTCTTTAGTTAACGTAGAATCGTTACTACAATGCGACGTGTTTTATAAATCCGAATATGTTTCAAGGCCCCATTTATATTTAATTTTAATCTCTTAGTACCTACAAGAAATTTTATAGAGCTATTGCCGTTGTAAAGTTTATGCTATTCCAGTACATCATTTTTTATTCTAAAAAAATAAATAAGTATTTAATCTAAAAGCCTTTTACTATTTAGACGAAAAAAAAGATTTAAACATATATCACAAATGGCTGTCTCATAATTATTTTGGCCTTTGTGGCCAGTTATTGATGTAGCAAAATAGTTTTATACTGGTAGTTAATAACTCTATTTCTAGCAGAAAATTTATAAAATTATAAAAATATTTATAATTTTTCACATTTATAAACGTATTTCTTTTTAAATTTACGATAACTTATTGATAATTTAATATTTTGTCTGGTAAGGTGGTATAACAAGGGACAACAACATATCATAAAGGGAATAATCAGTTTTTATATCCTCTTTGGTCTTTACACAGATAATGGCATAATCGAAAAAAAAACTGTAAAAACCATTTACCTACTCTTTCGATAAAAGTTATTAAAAAAACACAAATGGCTTGCCACTGAATGTTTAGTGGCCAGATTAATGTTACTTTACGTTTTCATTCTGCTTTTTTTTCAATTTGTTGTTTATAATAATCTTAAATAAAAATTAGTAGATATTTTTTTACCTATAACTGTATCGTTTCTGACATCGGCGAACCTGTCTTCGATACTCCTAAACTCAGGTATTGTGCTGACGCAAGTAATTTCCAGTCTTCCAGTCGCCACTATCTGTAGCTCCGACACCGTCACATAAAGATCTCTCTTGCTGGGTTTACGACTCTTGTGCCGGCTGCTCATATGAATAACATTTATCTCTTCATTTTCTTTTACTTCAGCCATCTGAAAAAGTATACATCGAACGAGAGTTAAGCATTCTTTTCAAATAAATGTGATTTAAGAAAAGTATTCATATTAGGTTATTAACAAATTTTATACGAAACAAATGGGACACACGGTGTAGGAAAATATTTTTTTTTAAATTAATGTAACCTTATATTTCTATCGGATTTAATGAAGTAATGAAGCAATCAACATAATTATGGCAAATACATAATTTAAATGTCGCTATGATGTCAACAAACATTTCTGTCTGTCTGAAATCGTAACCCGTGTCTATACATCCGTATCCACTTGATTGATTGACGATTTATTTATCCACAAAGATGTGTCAACTGTTCAGAGATCTGACATTTGATGGCATCTATGCCTCGGAGGGTAAAGCTCAAGTTGGCAGTACAGACATGTATATTTTTGGTAAATAAGGAAAAATATTCCGTGTTACGACATATCTACGTATGTTGCGTCAGTAGGTAGACGTACACGTACGAACATAATGGTTAATTTGCATAAAAGTAATTTCCTTGCGCCCAGTAACGTATCTAAAATGTATACATATACTATACACACATGGATGTAAACAAAATATGTTCCATGTCATTTTAGACTGAATTCGGAATTTAATTAGCTTGGTCGCAATATATTATTAATAAAAATGTTCGTCCAGCCGTGTTAAAAGTAATTAAGTTCATAATTCTCAGTTCATAGTTCAGTGATTGTATTTATTTCCTCGTGTTCGAATCAAGGTTAGTTATACTCGTGAAATTTTATGGACTCACTTGAGTTTCCTTTAAGCTGCAGCCGGGAGGTCTCGTAGCGAGGTGAGAGGCATGTGTGAGGGTCAATAACGGAGGAGGGCTGCTCATGCCAGTCTCATATTCGAAAGTTCGCTGCAATCCCCGACGACCATTACGTTCACTCATCGGCACACGGAACTTGTGTGAGTGGGCCACCAGCTCGTCCATCTGACACCAGAAACAATAGGTAAATGTTATTTTTACAAAAATGGGTTTTAGTTAAATCAAGTAAAGTTTATTTTACGTTGTTGTTAGTTACTACATCGTCGTAGGAGTTCGTTTTGTGTTATTTTGTAGTTGTTTTTAGCAAGTAACTATAACCATTTCCATATGATACCTATGATATGAACCTTTGAAAATAATCAAAAATATTTATTTATTAGAATAGGTGCTTACCTTTCTGCCATTAATAAACCATGTTATATGGGGGGCTGGTACCGCGGGCGCTGTGGTGCAATTGGCTCGAAGAGTCTCTCCGAAGCTGAGGTAGCGCGTTGGGAAGTCGATCCTAGGGTGATGCTTCTGGGGATCTGAGAAATGGTAATGTTTGTAATCATTTAGTCATCAGTATTGTAAAGGGTTATTTTATAGTGGGAGTTCTTCTCCTATCCTCTGACCCTTGAAGCTTATATGTTAAAAGGTTGGTTGTTCAGTAATGGTAGAGAATCGATGGCATTCAAAGTGTATATGTGTAATTCCGTTTAGTTGTTAAATGGCAGTAAGTACTTTGTAGAAAATAAAAGAGGAATTGAGATCCAGTTATTTACCATTGCCTGGACTATTGTATCATATTTTTTTCATTCACCATATTGTCGTAAATCGTATTTATGAAAGTGTTAAGTTCATAAAAAGAGTGTATTTCTGCGAAACAATGATGAGTGTTTACGGAACATGTCATATTATGTCTGACTTAGTGTCGGATTAGGACAGTACATGCAGACATTAATCTCAACATTTTAAGCTAATCCTGATTATCTAATAAGTATAGTAAACACCACATAATCTCTATTCCGCTGTCGCATATTGTTTTGACTGAGAACAATACGTTGTCATAGTCGTATAAGTACGGTTGTCCAATGTTGTCACATTTTATCCTTTAGGTATATACATAATAAACACAAAGTATCATGAACAACAAATAGATAATTGTTTTTTTATCAAGTTTGTTTTTTCATTTATGTTCAAAATTGTAAATCCGAGGTAATAAATAACAATTTAAGTTTACCAGGGTTGTTGGAATAGGATCATTTTTATAAATTTGGATTTTTTTATACCTACAATATAGATAGGCATATGTAAGTTTTGAAGTTAGTCATTATTTTATGAAATAGAGTGTATAGAGGGAATAAATTATAAGTAGATGTAGCTATGTCTCATTAATAAACCTTTTTGACGGTTACATAAAATTATTAAAAGTAATTATTAATTACAGGATGTACTTAGGTGAATATACCCATAATACACATAGTAAATAAAAAAATGTGTAATAATTTTGGAGCGATTTATTAGTTTCTCTTTGGTTTTAGTAGACGCAGATCTCTGTTAGTAAACTGGAGGGTATTTCGGAGTGCTATTGTAAGTTTCGTAAATGAAAAGATAAACAAAATATGTGTTTATGTTATTAGGTTTAACAATACTTTTAAAGCGGAGCCAGAGTTGTTCGTCATCACTTGAGTTGATTTTATATTTGTACGCGTATCCAGTTGATATAACTGCTGACTCGTGCGAAGGCAGAAGGGAACTCTAATTCACATCCGTCACGTGCCACAAATGAACTCACGCCGATCAACACTGACTCTCCATTAACATTCATTGTCAAAGGTCCCCCAGAGTCTCCCTGGCAAATACCAACACCTCCGTAGCCGTTTGTGCAAATGTTAGAATCTAGCACCACGTCACCGTAGAATCTGCGGCATTTTTGTAATTCTATGACTTCCAGCAAAACATTACGGGCCATTGTGTTGGTCGTGGGGTTAGTTACGTCGGAGTATCTTCCGTAGCCAGCAGCTATAACCGTTTCGTTCGTATAGTCCATGTGCAGCAGCGGTCCTGATGGTAATGCTATCGGTTGAATTTGGGCAGAAAATGGAATGTGGACGGGTAAATACAACATTGCTATGTCGTTAGCGAATGTTCGAAAGTCATAAGTTGGGTGAATGGCAATGGCAGATGGAAATACTCTTACACCTCCATGGAATAAGAATTGGGATCCCAGGACGGCAGTAATACGATGAGCTTGGTTAAATCCGTCGAACCAGCAGTGAGCTGCTGTTAGGATTCTGTTTGGAGAGAGAAGTGATCCTCCGCACGCTGAGGGTGACGAGAAGCCTATGATGTCGATGAGCAGGCCGGCGAGGTAAGGATGAGCGTAGACTGGAGCCACGGCTCCTCCCACAATACGATTTTTCAGCGTCACTTCAGACAACTTAATAATTTCAGAATTTTTCATGCCAACTCTCTGATGCCATCCTATAGATTCCTCGGCCCCAGTTTCATGGGTCCAGGCGGAGTGAATAAACAACAGACAGATTACTAGGAACGCGCGCATTGTGGACGTTCGTTGTGTACCGTTACAGGACGGGGACTTTATATACTTTACACAAGCTATCTCACTCTCAATTTTATCTGTTTTAATTTTTAATTCAACCTGATAACTAATAAATAAATAGTTAAGCCGATAAAGTTTTTATTGCCCCTATTTTACAGGGATTAACACTTTTCGATTTAATTGATTGTTAATTTTGTACGAGGTACGAAATAAAGGAGACACCTAAGTAGCGTTATATCTACTAAGCCTGGATTACCGTTCATTTATTTTCTAGAATTATTTTATGATGTTTTTTTTTTTCAAAACAATACATAATAATTTTTTGTGAAATGAGGAAATCAACGGAAAAACAATGTAAATAGTGTGAATATTGTGTATCTTATTTATTTATTTGTAATTGGTTAGTTTATCGTGTGTATAACAAAAATTTAACTATTTCTCACGATACTAGTTCAAATAAAAAAAATTACATTAAAGGGTAAATTTCTATCAATCTATTTTTATTTTATTTTAGAGATTACACAGATTAATTGTATTAAGCTATGGCCAGTACAAATTAAATTAAAATATTATGATTTTATTTTTATTTTTAAAACAATGCACTGATTTTTTTATTCCACACTATACTCACAGTCTATAAGGCGTACTTGGTTAAAAATCTAACATTATTATAATGGAATGATTTTTTTATGGACGACCAAACAAATTATTTTATGCTGGCTACAACTAAAACTCAATTGATTGTGTAGTTCACCAATTCTATTAAACAAATGCAATGAAATATAATCAGGAAAACATATTTTTACGCAATTCTTACAGTATAAGATACCTAAGTATTATAAGATTATCAAACACTGGACTCGTTTCAGGTGTTCGCGCTTTCCTTTTATTTAATTAATTTGTAACAAAGACATTCATATTTTCGTAATCTATGTTTATTATAATATTAATTAATTATTAAAATAAATTTGTAGAAATGTAACAGATTATAATCTAGATACTACTTATATATTTACAGAAAGAAGGTTTTTATCTGTTTATATTTTATGTATCTATATGTAGGAATATTGTACTGCGTCGATTAGTGATTTTCTTTTCCTCTATTTGGTCTCATTTTTCAGTCCCTAAGTAACGTTCCCTCGTTCACTTTTACCTGTAATAGCTGTTGATTTACTACCATTGGTTGAGGTATTTCCTTCCCGAACCTTTTCAGTGCTCGATTAATCATTTATTACGTTGTAGGGTTCCAAATTACGGACAATTTCGGTGGCCTGCGGCTTCACCTACTATCCTTCCTCGATGTATGTATACCTATGTGCGAAGGCTTTTGACGCTCAAAATGACTCGTGTAATCTTTATAAGAACTAATAGCCCTAAATTCAAGTCTACTTTTAGGGATTTTTGTCAAGTAAAGCTTGGTAATCTAAGTGTAGCCTTACGTTTTGCTACTTGGTAGGTACATAATACATCTGGGTTACCTTACGGACACATACGTATAAAGTATCGGGGAACGGAAACGGATTCTCCTCAATAAAAACGAGACCGCGATATTTGTTGCTCGACCCCAGACTTGATAAATGATCAGAGCAGAGAAAACCAACAAACATTTCTTCGCGAAAGAGAACAATAATTTCAACAGTGTTTTGTTAGAAAAACGAAATATTTTATTTGCATTGTATTTAGCTAATATTTTAGGCGAATGACGTCAATGATACTATGAAGTATGATAGCGTACGGTTACCAATTTCTGATGGCATTCGTCTTGCTGATGTTGCACTTATTCATGTCAGGCTTGATCGAATTTGCTCTATTCGGTACCAAAATCAAAACCTAATCAACCTGCAATTTCTGATCCGCAATAGCTCGATTCAGCTATCTGTATCTTTAGACGAATTGCTTGACCGTTCTGTGTTAAATTTTAGTTCATTGGCTTAGGGGATAAGGTTCAAAATAGTATGATATTTTGTTGTCAGATTTTAATGGTGCGTGGTTTCTTGTTTGGTATGCGTCTCACGTGCCGGTCGAACTTCATCGTGCATTCTAATAGATAGCTAATTACAATGTTTTGGGCAGTAAATAGATACTTTTATATGAGCATCGGCTTCAGTGTTGCTGTTTATACTCAAAGTTTAGGGGCGGTCAGTTTAAGGGAAAACAATTTACCATTTTGAACCCCACTTTCATGTTAAGTTTTTTGTCATCAAACAAACGGAAATTTCAGAGAGATCGATAAATGAGGAGCTTATCTAATCTAAACAACCTAAGATTTAAATTATAATGATACATTAGTATAGTGCATGGTACAATAGTAATACAATTTTAACATGCTTTTTTTTGGTGTGTGAGGGGAAAATCATCAAATGACTGCTCTCGCCCTGGGCCGGGAGGGAGGGAGTGTTAGATTCTTACTGGGTAAAAACCCCCTGTTCCTTCTCCTGCTCTGGGCCGAGGTCGCGGTGCCTCATTGCGCTTACCCCGCAACCCCGGCTGAAATTCTAACATGCTGGCGTTCATAGTAGAAATAGGTACCTACATAGACCTACGATGAGAAAGGTTATCTATCATTAGCTACAAGGACGGAACCTAAGCTTGAATAATCATATAACCATTTTAGGTAGAGAGGATCGCAATTCTTTTGCCAGAATACTTTTCAATAAGTTATATTATATTCTGAAATTTGTAACTACAATCACTTAAAATAATACGAGAAAATAATATGACTATAAAATAATCGTTATTTTGACTAAATCGAGCATCTGTCTTTTTTTAATTTGTCTTTAATTGTTATAATATACATATGTTATGGGGTCATATTCTAATATGCCAATAATTTTAAAAGGTCAGCACAAAAATAGAAGCGAATTTGTCAACGTTTCATACAAAAAACAACCTGTATAAACACACACTTGCTGCAAAATGGAACAATGCACGAACATTGAAAACTTACGGAACACTGTGAGCTGTTTTTCAGTGGAGGCTTTCGTGTATATAGGGGTGTCGAGTGACACCTCGCACGAGTAGCTGCCACTCGCAGCGAAATCCAAGTTCTGCAGGATTATAGAGTTTTCCGTAGCTAAGGCGATCTGAAATGAAGCAAACAAGTCAATTAGTTGCAGACAAAGACGTTCACTGAATTTTAATAGAGTGCTAGCGACAATTGCAGGGGTACAGTTTGTGGAACTGTTAATTGAAAGAGGTTTTATTATTGCTTAAATAGTGTTCTAAAGATTTTAAGGTATGTACATAATTGTTATTTAGATTGAAATCTCTGTAAAATTTAATCTATTTAGCAATTAAATTATTAATAGCCTCCGCTTACAGGCTTATTGTTCTATTGTAGATAAATAAAATGTACCCTACTCAGTAAGTGGAAAGAGACATAAAGTATTACTAAAGCGAGACAGTAGATATATACCTAAAAGTAGGTTCTCAGTCTATTAACATAATCTGCACACAGCGTCACGTCTGTAGATAAAATGAAATCTCACTATCCGCTGGTATTGTTATCTACACTAATATTATAAAGAGGTAAAATTTGTAAGTTTGTAAGTTTGTATGTAGGGGGTAATCTTTGGAACCGCTGGTGGGATTGCCAAAATTCTTTTACTTATTGATAGCTACAATGTTCCCGAGTGCTATAAAACATCACGCTACAATCAAATGGAGCTGTGCAGCGAGTGAAACCGCGCGGGAGTAACTATTTCACGATATAATAAACATTATATCGTTTGCAAACACATGTATCTTCATAATACAAGCGAACACAGATGAAGAAAATTTTATTTTAATTGCGAATATGCTTCGAGCCAATGCACCTATAGAAAATAGTAACTAAATATTTATGGAATACCGTACCATTTGTTGATGTTCCAATACGGAATTTTCATGTATTTCAATATAGAGTACCTATTCTATATTAAAAGACTGCGAACCAAGGTATGTGATGGTGTAGGTATTACCACGTACAACTAATACAATAACTTATATGAATGTGGGTCACAGAAACACACAGAAAAGTTTGTTTCCAAAGAAAGTCACCGCTATCAGAGATTTGAGCAGGACTTGCATGGCTCAAATTGACGACCCTTCCACGAATTTGTTGTGGTCGTTATAAAGGCGAATGTCATTAAGTTAAAAGGCGAGGCTCACGGAAATATTCAAGCGTATAAGGATGGTCCAACAAGTGGCCGGGCTAGTACTTATTATGATTACGTGTTTCCAATAGAATTAGAATGTGGGAACATGTAAGTAGTTATTCAGGTGAATCGATTTTCTTTGAGCCTTGCCTTGAATTTGAGGGTCGACGAATGTTTTTCAATATTTTTTTGATTTGGACCTTGAGCGGTTAGTAGGGCCTGTAAATATTTTTGAACTAATAAGGTCTACGTAACGTCTAGGTATATGTGGAAGAAAGATTAATGTTTGCCCTTTTTAAAAAATATCTTGGTGTCGAGAATTACAAAGCTTATTCCTTTTAAGACTAACATTCATTATTAATCTAGTATATGATATCCATTTGTTAACACCAATTATGACTAAACATATACACAGGTCAAATACACATGCATGAATATAAAATTTATATAAAATTTTTGGACACTAAAATATTTTATCATACGCCTATTGGTTTGGCTGAACTTTATTTTGGCAAACTGCATTATTTATTTAATAAAATAATTTAAGCATGACACGGTTTTAAAATTCAACCTCAACGTTCCTACCTGCACATCGGAGTGAAACAAAGGCCGAGTCGTTGGGATCTCATCAATGGGTTTTGGGGATCCGTAACCTCGGCTCGACAGTTAGGCCTTTAGACATTTCACTCGTATTCGTATATATTCAGAATTTGCTAGATTTGACCTGGTAGTGAGGTCGACCTGTTACGCCCTCCTGCGGCGAAATGGAACGAGCAATGTGCATGCAATGGAACCCACCTAAGGCACGCCGAATTAATTTAAGTGCGCTTTTACATTAGGTGCATACTGCCTGCTGTTAGCATACGTTGCAGCCTTATTATTACTCTATGCGGAGATTATAAATGTGAGGATATGGACTCGGAAGCTGAGTAATTAACTGGAAATTGCATCTGAGTACTCTTCACCTAGTCTTACTTATGTTGTTTGAGTGTGTATACGAAGTAGTAATTTCTGAGGCGTAAGAAATTCGGTAGAAAATTAGTCTTCCATGAAAAACGTTTTTTACATCTAGGGTCACGACAAAATGATTTTAAAATACATAACCTATATTGTTTTTATAGTGTGTAGTAATAGGACAAAGTTAAACCAAAGTTGAACAACTAAAGCACAATTCAGTATCTAATTTAAAAGATAAGCGTTGAAAATTACATTTAAACTAAAGTTTGCGAGAGTGGAACAGCTCCACGCAAGGCTACGGGAAAATAATATTCAATAATGAGATAATGAAACTTGGGAAGTGTTCTTTAGGTTGTAAAACAACTTGTATCACGCCTACACTTCACAGACGAGGTTAAAATATTTGCTTCTATTTTTGTGTTACATAAACAAACCCTAGGTGATACTAACCTACTAGCGGCTTTATATTGCGGCATTAGATTTATAATGGTTAGGTTACGCGACTGACATTTTACGTGGTAAGTAAATTAGAGAATGTCTTTCATAAGGATACGTGAACAATGTCCCGGTTGGGTGGCTTGAACCGTCGACAGAAAAGCGTTTAATTCATTAAGATCTATACAATTAGACGGTGAACTAGCGAAAAGGCGCCTGAGGAAAACCTTCCTGTACGGTGGCCAATATTTCTTTTTATAACGGACATTTTTATTCTGTTTTACTGCTGAAAATTATTTGGAACTACATATATTCATTATTTAAACCTCATTTTTCATGAATTACTCTCGAACATAGAAGTTTTTATTTATATTTATTTTTAGGTATACCTTGTTAGGTCAACAGCCAATAAAAGTGTGTTATGTTATAAGTATAACATGAAACAAAACAAAGGCATTGGAATGTCGAACTAGAACTATCGATGTTTTGCGAATGGCGTATCGATACGAGGTTGTAGTGTGAGTTAACCTTGTGTTTCGGCGATGGGCTACCATTACTTATGCATCGGCGTTATCTTGACCCAACATCAATTGGTGGGTACGGCCATAAGCGGTTATTGGCGATAGGGTGAGCTACAGTGACAACATGGCTATACAAATGCATTACGTAGTTAACATACTCATTCACACACCACTCGGTAACTAAAGCCGGCACGGTGCGTCAAACGATGTAAATTCACCATTATTTTCACGTGTAATCATATTACCTTCAGTATGAAGTTTTCATTTACGCTGAATAATTTTAAACGCATTTACAGTTTACGGTTTCCAAGCGGGCCGTAGATATATTGAATTTATTTTATAAATTCTTGTTAATAACTCTGGCTATTGTGTAATCGTATCCTTGCAAAGACTTTTGAGGCTTTTGATTACCTAGTATTTTTAAAATTGTATAAATAAACAAATCTGTGACCCCTTCATTTTTACTGCACGTTTTTTTTAATACCTGGCGTCATATTATTATTCGTAAATATTATTTTAAATATTGACAGTAAATGAATATAAAATGCACTTAAATAATAATATAAGGTACAGCAAAATTGGAGCAAATGTGTTTTGGCATACGATTTGTATATAACAAGCAACAAACGAATTTTGAGAGTTTCTTTTTGCTATTTAAGTTTGAGGTTTTTATCCAGATGGATACGCCAACCCCATCGTACCCTCCTCTCTTCAGAGATACTTTGTAATATTTTGCTTTACTTGTTATACTTACATAACAATAAATATACAACCATGAATCTTGATGAAGTATTTCCTTACTGTCATAAGCCGTGACGTCAGAACAGAATCACGATCCCTATTCTTCCCGCGGATACAAAACACCATGCCAAAATCCGGGTATAAAAACACCACCAACAGATTTTTAAAGGATACAGATAGTGACGATATTACTAAGCAAAGACAGCATACACGACTGAGGGAACACACGACAGTGGCACAAGACTCGATCCGGCTAAAGTCAAATCGTGTGGTAACCCCGAGGCAACGTTGACCCGGAAAATTAACTCCGCCCGAGCCATTACCCAACTGGCACCTACGTCTGTGAATTTTTAAGGCACGTTCACATATTCAGTATCACTGCAGAAAGTGAAAAATATAAGAGTAATCTTAAGTAATACTCTTGATATAAACATTTTAAGTCTATCCATTACTTACATTAGAAGTGATATATTGAGCGCATCTACTAATGTCAATATTCGGAGATAATAAAAAAAGGCAAAAATCATTTATTCCAATTAAACCTTTACAGGCACTTTTGAACGTCAAACAAAATTTTGAAGATATAGTATCAGTCTGTCGATCCTCTTAGTGGAGCTATTTGGATTTTATTTATTATTTTCAAGTTTATAGATTTCAAAGACAGATATAGTTACGATAGTTATCTTTATATTTAGACAGAGAAACATTCACATCAGGTGTATTTAGAAACGGCTTACTAATCTTATCAATTTCAAATATTATTTTGCGCCGTAAATATGTGGTGACTAAGTTCTACGCTAGTATTGACTTATCATTGAAAATGTTTATACCTAATACGTAGTATGTACCGTGTTTTATTATTCAATTTTAACAGAAAGAAATGTAATTTCTGTTGGTATAAGATTCATATTGCAATGAAGCATATGTTAAATTAATTCATTAAGGAACAGTAACCAGAGACGATTGGTATTTTAAAAGGTAATCCTGACTTCATTACTGCGATTTATCAAGGTTTACTACGAAATACGAGTATCAAAATGTCGAATTTAAATGTTTTAATTAAATCTTACACGTCAATAATTGCAGCGCGACTCATAATTGGCGGTCGTAGTTCAAACAAAATCTACACTAGCGATAAGTAATTAAAATATTTTCAGTATTAACATTTCAGCATATTGTAATCATATACTGTCACCGGCTTAATTCTGGTTCATCGATCCAACTGGCGATTAATTCAGTAATATCCGCTCATTCGATGCCGACAAACTTTTATGTGAGTTTGATAACAAAAATGCTGTGTTATCATTTGCAGACTCGCAAATAGTTATTGACGTTACCTACGTAGTCTACGCAGACTGACACAGCAGCGTAGGAAATTGCTTCCATCTAAATATAGATCTAAATTGGTCTGGACTTTTGATTTAATGAAAGAAAATTCTTGACATCTATTAAAACTTATTTAGAGATAGTAGGTATATCTTTTTATTTTTATATCTGTATTTTATATGTTTTTTTTTTGTCAATCACACAAGTCTAATACATTTTATATTTATTAGGCAGTTAATATTTCGTGTCGTTTAATTTTTCGTAACAGAATTTCGTGATCAAAAACGTTCCATTATTTGGATGATATCAATATAAATAAGTTCATATTTTGTAGATCAACAAATGTGTTTGTAGATCAAAATGTGTTATTTATATTTTGGATATGGTACCTAAAATTGGATTTTAAGACAAATCATAACCGACTATTCGATTATTATTGACTTTTCTGGTCATTGAAAAACTACTAACTGATAAAGTTTTTACTAGGAAATATTTCTAAATTGAAAGGAAAGATACTTTAATATACATATATACTGTAAACTTTAATTAGGCATTGTTAGTTTACAACGTACGTTAGTTCATACAAAGCCTTAAGATCCGTACAAAGAAAAAGTGCCATTCTCGCGAGTTCGACCGGAGATTGTACGCCGTCTCCGGTAGAACTCTCGTAGAGAGTGCTTTAATCAAAGAAAGCGGAACTGAAATATTTTTTTCTAGACAAGGAGTTGGCACGTAACTGTCTTTCGTTATTCTTGCATTGTAGTAACGCCTGCTTTGTATTATTATATAGTAACTTGAATCATACTATGTCGTTATTTATTCCTTCTAATAAGAAAGTCCTAACTAGAATGTTAAGTTAAAACAACAATTTTGAAACTTCAACACACCTATTTTCACTTTAAATATTCAACAGACACACCCACGGTACAAATAAATTTTACGGTACATATAAACCGCAGTAACATTTTAAAACAAAAATAACTATTGTTTTGTATATACGTGTTCTTATGCTGGAGTTCAACACGTATCTGGCTCAAAGTGCTCGTTTGTTAGGCTGAAACTTGCATAAAGTAATTAATTAAGTTGCTAAGTGAGTTAAATAATAGTGCAGCCGACTAAAGCTACGATTTTTTCGTAAAAATTTAGGTGTAAAATTTTTCAACGAGGCAATTTTGTAAATATACATTTATAGGTATACGTAGGTATACGTCTCCTGAATGGTAGTAGGTACTAATAGAAATACCGATCATTATACAAATATATGATTATTATTTCTAGTGGGAAATGGTTATTGAGGTTTATTTAATATGGATAGTGACCCGAAAGGGCCAGTATTATGATTGCTGAGATGCAATCTGGGCAATGATAACACTAGTCCCCCCAGTCGATTAATTAGGCGTGCAGCTAGTTTACTGTACCTTTGTTTGTAGAGGCTTTGCGTCGGCCATGCAAAATGTACGCTTTGGAGCGACACTGCGTTTGTATTCATTACTATGACTGAGTGGAAGCTTTGCAGATCAGCGCCACTTACTTTACATGACGCTTTGTCATAAATATGTATCGCAGACCAACCTACGGTACTAATATTTCTCAGTAGTATTACTGAGAAATATTCTCACAATGTTACAACTATGACATTGAGAGACGATGCGTGTCAAGCCAAGTTGCGGTTAAGATTGATTACAATGTTTATATATCTCCGCAGTTTTTCTTGCACGCAGATAAAATAAGGAACTAAAATGTACGGCAAATGTCAGGAGATAGGTGTTGGTAAAGCACATAAGAGTATCTTGAATTTCTGACATTGTAAGTGGGAAAAGGAAAAAATGTTAGGTACTTGCAGCTATTCAAGCCTAAAGCTCGTTCGGTATATGAGTTTTAGAATATGTGCATTATTCACTTACGTTGAGCACGGCTCCGGGCGTAGTAAAGTTTCTATAAGGCGGTTTCCGGTCCCTAATGTACTGGAAGATTTTGGTGCCGTGTCGGAGGAAGACCACTTTGTCAAGGAGATGGGGCGGCACGTCGTGCACGCAGCGGAGCCGCACCGAGCCGCCGCGCGCCGCCCACCGCTCCATTTGTAACTCCACGCGCACCTCCGCGTGCCCACGTACTGGAAACATACACAACCTATATCACTACTATTATTCACTACCTTACAACAAATGTTTACATAATCTTAATGCTACTTTATTGGTCTAACAATGACCTTATACATATAAGGTATAGAATATAGTGTTATTATTCACATAAAAGAATACAAATACAAGTAAGTGATTCTAATACTACCCGGGTTCACTTTCATAAACAAAACATGCAACTGTTAAAATATAGGTGAGCTGTGTGTATGTACTTGTGCGGGTATTCCGAGGCGCGGCCTGCACGCACCCGTCACAGGCACAACAATGTTCTTTTTATGACGTTTGTCACGTTTTTCAGAAATTGCGTCGGCTCCCTTCTGTTCCCACGATCCAAGAAAACCCATACCATTTTCCACGTTTTATTCCCATTGTATTTTGAACTCTTTTCACTTTGATGTAAAGTTCTAGGTACCTGGTTGTTTGGTATTAGGAAAATGTGTCTTTGTTAGTAACAATCTTGGGTGCGCCTCAGTACACCCAAGGTTCATGACAACACGTTTTATACCTGGTATTATTGTGTGGTGGGTAATGTGAGAGTGAGAGGCGTAGAAGGACAATTATAGTTATAATGTTTACATTCAGGAGGATCCGCGTCGCGGCTGTTTACTCGTAGGTTTTGTTATCTGATTGCTATTGATGGCGCGGTGTAAATATTCTGCCGTCGTATTGTGGGGATTGTGTACGTAGGCAGGTAGTCACCCACACTATACTCTGCAACGATTTCCGTAATCCGAACGTGGGAAGAAATGCTGATGAAATATAATGTGCAATCAAGTGAAATGGAAAAGCTCCGTGAAATAGCTCGCATCCTTCTTGCGTGATATAAACCATTTCCGTCAGTTTTATGGTTTGCACGTTTTATGATTATCACTGCTACATTGCAACTTTTAGTTGGTACGCCGCGGTACAAAATTAGAATAGAAGACATTGCCTAATCATTTTAATATTAGAGTTAAAAATGGAAATAAAAATTGGCTAGTTTAAACTTGACTAGACAGAATCGTGTTCAAAAGCAATAAAACCTAAAAGGCTTATAAAAAGCAAGTCCTTGAATAAACAGCCGTCTACGATGAAATAGACATGTTTGTTTTTTAATTAGTATAAGTTGAGAATTAAGGTAGTAAGGTATATGTAAACATAAGTAGAGCGAGCAAGAACGAGTCGAAAGTCAACAAAATGTTATTCGTTCAACTTTAGTCTGGCGACTGAACATTCAAGAGAGTTTTGCCCCATTCAAAAGGGCGGGTTCACTTAGTGCTAGAATTGAAGAAGATCATTGCAAAATATTTTTTATTCAAAGGCCAGCAACCCCAGGCCTGTAGCAATGATACGTGGTAAAATAAAACGTATATAGTCACAAGTTTATGGCTAAAAAGCGTGAATAATACTAACATATGTATATAATATTATTAAGCTCTTTGGTTGACACGTAACGACGAAACGAGATCATTTACTTTTAAGAACAAAGAGTCGTGTTAATACGTTGCGTTTGAACACTCCGCTCTTTAAAACTTTGTCCCGTGTATGTTATGGTACTTAATAGATATGTATATAGGTGCATGATAAATTATTTTTATTTTGTAAATAGTTTACAAAAGTTTACAGTAGATAACTTTTAAAACGAACGATTTTGATTTCTTATTTGTATACTCTGAAAAGAAATGTAATAGAAACATTACTCAGAGGTCAGTCTCATTTAAAGTGCTGATAAAAACAATAATGTGGGAGAACCTTAATTAGAACTTAATTCTGTTGTGGTTTTATTTGAAATGGATGTTTCTGACGTTAAACAAACATGTGTTAGTTCACAACCAGCTTGACTAACATGTGTTACCGAATTTTCCGACGAATAATACAAATCAAAAGAACATTTAAGTAGGTCGGTGTAATACTGAAACTGTCAGAACTTAGTTACTAGAATGAGATAGCGAGACAAACTCACACGGTCACTGAAAACTTAAATAAATATCGAGACAATAAAAAATATAGGTATGAGTATAATATAGGTACAATGTTACAAGCTGAAAAAGAGCCAGGCAATCGCTGTTTTGAATGTGAACAACTGAGCAATTAGCCTGTAGCCGATTCTCAGACTTGTTGAATATGCATTTAAAATGAAATGAAAATCATTTAAGCTGTTTCAGAGGAGTGACTAACATTGTGACACGAGAATTTTATATTATAAGAAGAATTACGCCTAAAAGCAGAAGATGACCGACCCTTAAATAAATACCTATGCCACGACAGATATACGTGCAAAAGGTCGCAAGGTGGTTGCGAACATAATTACAATAACTTCTCATGAATGTCCACTCTGTGACATTGGGAAGTATGAAAGAGAGCGCTATTTTTCTTCACTTATGAAACCCACAAGGTAGCTATTCTTTAGTCTATAAATATATATAAGGTCGACTATGCGTGACCAGAGGGCTTTTTGTTTGTCTGTTACAAAATTACCCTGAGTTATTAGCTCATATTATAAACATGACGTGACAATGCCACTTATTACTTTTTGGTCAAAATAATGGTTCACACTTAACTAAATTAAAATTGATCACACACGGCTATTGGGTATTCGTTTTACTGTCTCTAGACTAATAAGTTTGTTCTTTTTTGGTGTCTTGTTTAGTAAAATCACTACAAAGTCGCTTTTTCTGTACCTATATTCCTATGTATGGTTAAATATTTAAAACTACGCAACGGATTTTGATGTAGTTTTTTAAATAGATAAAGTAATTGAAGAGGATAGTTTACATGGTACATTAACATCCATTAAATTATAGAGAAATTTTGTATCAGCAGTCTAGTCGCTAGTTACATAATATGCTTAGTATGTCTGCATTATGGCGGAATTGGTTAAATATTTAAAAAGTACACAGATTCTGCCACGACAATACCAAATGGAGAAAAAGATCTGAAACAGTAAAAGTAGACAATGGTTCAATCTTGTATTGGGTATTTGTTCCTTGTTCATGACAAATTATACTTTTCAGTATTTTTTTATTAGCTCTACTTTTCTAGCATATGAAACTGTCGTGGGTCGAGGGGACATTCTGTATACCTACTTAAAGTAAAATAAGTCTGTTGTTCGCAGAAAAGCATTTTTATTTTATTTTAAAATAAATATTGTGAATATAATTCGAATAATCTTCCATTCTAAATCGAGTTGGACGGACTGTTTGCTTGTAATAAAATATTTAAATAATACCAGTCATGTGGACGCTGGATGTTAATCTTATTTATGAAATTATGTTTCTTTTTTGTGAATATTTATAACTTGTTAGCTGGTTGCTGTTGCCCGCCACTTCTTTTGCATAATACAAAGCTAGACTCGCTCCGAACCACAAAATATCCTGTCTTAGTGCATACTGTAAAGTTTATTTAGAAGAGAATTTCAGTTTATCTTCGTAACTTTGACTTTCCATTTCAATCCGACAAGCAAACCTGAATTTTTTATTTGATTTAAACACAAGTATTTATTTATCTTGATTAGAGTAACATGAACGACGCGATCCGAATCTCCTGTTTGAGTAAATAATTCGTGATTAACGATTACACGCAAAATGGAAATAAAAGGTTAAATTAGTTGAGTAATCAAGGGGCCACGTAACGTAATACCTACGTGTATCATAGATTGTTTGATAATACCTACTCTAGTATTCCCACTACGACACATATGCGTTTCAGTTTACTAATTCACAATGGCTCACGCCAGTGCAGCACATTATAAACGACCAGTTGCATTCGTGCAGAAGGGACATGTCAAAGGAGTTTGTAATTCATCAATCTACATTAATGTGCGCTGCAAACCACCAAATCTCCTTATATTTTTCTACCTTCTGAGTGGTTACACCCATGTGTGCCTAGCCGAATAAGCTCCGGCGCGATCTCATGGCAGAGTGGAAACAACGAACTCTCTGAACCGACGGCTGGGCACGCTATTACACCAGCGGTAAGACCCCACTTTGAGGAGACGGACACGGCAGTTTCGATAGGTTTCTGTTTCGGACGGATTCAGTGGGAGATAACGACCAGTCGTCATTGTGAGGACCACCCAGAGGACATAATGGAGCGTACGGTGGCGGTGTGCCCTGCTTGGGCTGAGCACCGCCGTGTCCTCAGAGAAGCAATCGGCGGCGGCGACCTCTCGAATTCGGCTAAGCTTGTCTTGGCTTAGTTGAGGCAATGGTGCGGGGCGAGAGGAACTGGGAAGCCTTCTCCTTTTTCTGCGAAGTAATGATGTTCGCAAAGAATGAGGTGGTGCGCGTGAGGGAGCTATCCTTCTCACGCTCCAGCCGCAGTAGTAGGCGACATTCTGGTCGTCGAGGATCGAGCGATGATCTTTGGCCACGCCTGTGGATGGCGAGCAAGGGTAGCTCGCCGCCCGACCAGAATCAGACACGAGCGTACGGCGCGCAGCGTCCAGCGAAAGAAGTCATTTGATGACTATTCAATCACGAAAAAAAGTGGTTATACACCTACGTTAATTCACTTCCTAGTACCTACCTTACAAAGGCATTACGAGCCATACGCTTTGGTATTCAGTTCCTGAAAGTTCCACATGTATGCCGTATTACCATAGCCTCACAAACGTCATTGTTTCAGAATATAATTGAATTCTCTTTGCACAATTGTTTGAGCATTATTGACGTGTGCTATTAATTGCGCAAGCGTAACTGGACACCTTTGATGTTGACCTGTGTCTGTGCTGGGGTGTGATTCTGTAAGACTTCATTCTAAACTTCGAATCTGAATCCGCGGTGAGTTTCTTGATTGGCATTCTAAAACTCGATTCCTAACTCGAATCTATGCTAGCGCTACACTTGCGAGTGTGTTTACGAGTTGAACTAAATTGACCACAACATTTTGACAGATAAAGTATGAGATAACGTTGAAAATCGTATTCTATAATGTAATTGCCCCGTCACTTCGACGCTCACTTCAAACTAGAACAAGATTCAAAATGTCAAATTAAAAGTATCTATTTTACGAGTGAAAATGGAAGAAATAATAGTTAGATAGTGTTCAAATTAAGTTTTGAAAGTAACAAAGTGAATAAGTGCTTACCTATTAAAACGATAACAATGGCAAGAATGATTTTGGTAAAATCTTTGTTAGAAGAATTCTTTAGATAAACAAGAAATGCGTCGACAATCTGGCACCATTCGAAGTTTGTCTTTATTAACCTGAGATGACGACTATGTGAGCGTGTATCTGCAATGGAGCTGATTGACCAACTGGAGTATGAGTTACTCCCTTTGATAAAACCCACAAAACGGCGAGGCAAAGGGCTTTGAACTTTCAAATATATATACCTATATAATAATATAATGGTATAGTTCAC